ATATATATATATATAAACACACATACACATTAAACGAACGCACATATTGGCGAGCGAGTGTAAATGTGCTTAATACAATTACTATATATATATATATATATATATATATATGTATATGTATATGAAGGTGTATTTTTTATTTATTTTGTATTATTATTATTATTATAATTATTATTATTAATTTTTCTTATATATATATATATATGTATTCATTTTGCAAACATCAACGAGAGGCCCTTTTCTCTAGCAGTTTTGTTGTTGGTTGGTTGTCTTTGCTATAGTGTGTGTATGCGTGTAATTGTATATTTTTCCACAGTGTGTACGTACATATATAATATATACACATATAAACAATATTAAGTATGTATAACTGTATATATTAATGTGTTTGTATGTCTCTCTGATTAATTTGTTCTGCGTCTCTCTGCGTTTAAACACCTGCATTATTTTTCTGTTTTTTTTTTTTTTTTTGAATGAATGAATTGAATTATTCGTTCCTTGCTTTCAATTTTACCCTGCCCCCTGTTTTCATATTGATTAACCAATACTTCAAAATTCTTCTCATCAAGACTTGAAAATAGTATTTTTCTTTTCTAACACATTGGGCCGTTTCTAAACTTCTAAAACATCAAATATGTCCGTCGTTGTTTTTACGGCGCGTATAAAGCGTAATTTGTCCACAATCTGACAAACGTTAGAATTATAAACGTAATTATTTATTTACATACATACACATACATATTTTTTTATAATTATTATTATTATATATATATATATTTATGTATGTACATCCTTAATGTTATTCGTACACACGCATTTAGCAATTAACACATACGTATTGTATTTAGGTGAACCGAAAAGTAACGTCGCTAATTTTAATCAATAATCATTAATCACTGAAATTGATAGTAAAAAGTGCATATTCGAGCATGTAATGTTTTAAAAATTGAAACAAGGCAATAGCACTAAAGTGGCAAATGAAAAAATATACAGCGTATACAGTGTGCAGGACTTGATAACTGATAGGACAGTCAGAAATTGTTTTGTCAAATTCCGTTCTGGAGATACGATCTTAACCCTTTAAAGTGCACATGTGGTGTTTGACACCCCCAACAAATTTTTGATCTCTCGAAAACGGTAGTGAATTCGAAAAAACAATGGGTTATTTGTCTAGTGCCATCTAGTGTTCATTCAGATGGGTATAAAACCTATTCTATTTTAAAATAAGATGTATCAAACTACTTTGAACAAAAAATTGCGAGGTCTAAATATTAAATGGCGACTTCAGGAGACGCGTTCTTCAAACACGTTGGGGGTGTCAAACACCCACAGTTGCACTTTAACTAACTTTTACCAAGTGTGCACTTTAAGGGTTGAAAGATGAACCGAGTGCAGGGACGTATTTCCAACTTTGATGAACCTTTTAAAGGTAATATTGGAGCATAATCCAATAGATACGTTGAACAATTGCAAATAGTGCAAACAAAAAACACCATGAAAAGTGTCCTGCACTTATTAGTGATAGAAAGACCATTATTTGTCTCATAAAAAATGGAAGTTATTTATGACTCGACCTAATACTAGAGGTATATGATAACAATTTACAATAATAATAATAATAATAATAATAATAATAATAATAATAATGATGATGGTGATGATGATGATCGCTTAACATTTTACAATAAGATCGAGCTAAATAGAAGAAGTCATTGTTTCTCTTTAACTTACAATTAAATTATAAGACGATAATATTACATTATATGCGAAATACTCTTTCAAGTGTTAAATCGCATGATTTATAGAAGTGACAAACTTTCATTTTAACACGCGCAAATCAACGATAGTTTTAAAACACACGCACGATATAAAGTTTTGTATTTTTTATTTTATATTTTATTTTGTTTTTTAATTCTATTTATCATTACGCTCTTTCATTCTTAATTTTAATAATTTATCTAAAACAAAAAAGATATGAAAAAGAAGAAGACAATAAAAGTAATTACAGTAATAATAATAATAATAATAATAATAATAATAATAATAATTGTAATTGTAATAATTGAGATTCGCAGAAGTTCACGAGCACGCGCGACGCACTTTATACAGTAATTAATAAATCACATACATATGTATATACATAAATGATATAAGCGCATCTATTAATATCATATATATATATATTTTTTTTTGTAGTCGTGAAAATGATTAATAATAACCCTTTCGTTACTAGCAAAAGGCCCCCATATGAAAGAACGTTTACTATGGCAACGATACTCATGTAACAAAAGGGTTAAATAATAAAAATAAAAAATAAACAAATAGGCAAGAATTAGTGAAGGAAAATGCTTATATCTCGTGTGTTAAATTACGAGATGTTAGGACTTGAGATGAAATCTAATCGATAATAAATATAATAATAATTAATAAAAAAAATATAATTGTTCTTTTTTTCTCTCTCTTAGCTTGCAACCACCATGTTTTTCTACAAAAAAAAAGAAAAAGAATTAAAAACTAAAAAGTTGCAAAGAAAAACCAAAAAAAAAAGAAGATTCTCTATCGACAAATGTGAAAGTAACAGTATCGATGATTAATTGGTAAAATTGTTCTTAAATTTTCTACATAGGTGTGTGTGTCTTCTTCTTGTGTGTATTATTAATTAGGTTCATCGTTTAATGTCATACAACATGTACATGTATAATAGAAATACATTAGACGTATTTATTTAATTTACGAAATTTCTTCTAACGATCTTATTCCGAAGAATCACGAATTTTGCAATCTATTTTGTTTGTTTCTATATTTTTTTGTTTATTCAGTTCAATTTTGTTTATATTCAGTTCATCGGTGTCGTACGCGCGTACGGAGTCAAAGAGTTTTAAAACAACAAACAAAAATCTTCGTAAGATAATTCTTCAAAGTTACGCGCGAACACGTGTGTGTGTGTGTGCTTATTTATTTTTTTTTAAATATATACTTTCTAAATTGTTTTTTTTTTTCAAGCATTATCCATTTATCTTCTAATCTAATGAATAATCTTGATTAATTGTTTTATTTTTTATTTTTTTATTCCAGTCTTGAGAGAAGTAACGTTTTAGTGACAACCGTATATAAAAAAAGAAAAGAAAAACAGATTTACAAAAATATGAAAGAAAGCTCATTTTTTACCACCCAACAAACAAACAAACAAAAAGAGAAAAAAAAATCACACGATTACATTTTTTGTTTGTTTAACGTCGATCTAATTTTACAAATAGAAAAGAATTTGATATATCTCTATTATTTATATCACACCGTATATAACATTGATTGAGTTAATTAATTGTTTTTTGGTATTATTTTTGTATGTTGTTTCCTATTACTTAATAAAGTATATTATATTTTGTATTATTTTTCGATATTTGTATTGAACTAACACATCAATTCTCTTTGTTTTATTAAAACATTCTACCATTGGTCCCACGAAATTGCACGATCGCCTCTACTACGTGATAGGGTAAACTAAATTTTTTTTTTCTTTCATTCTTTCATACTTTCTTTTTATTTTTTATTTTTTATTTTTTTTTTTTATGATTTTGTTTATTTCTCTTCTTTTTGTTTTGTTTCAATATTAATGTTTTTTCTTTTTTTTTTACTGTTCTTTATTATTATTTTTTACCAGCGCGTGACGGGAAAGTGTCAACTTAAACGCCCACTGTGCTAAACGATAGTTGCCCCTTTCCGTCTACGTCGAGCAGAAAAAACACACTCTGGGCAATAAATAAGAAATGTCTCAGAGCGCACATGTTTTATTGACACCTCGGACAACAATTACATATGTGCTCTGAGACATTTTTTATTTCATCGTCTTAGGTATGTAATTTACTATTTTGTTTCTGTTTCAAAATATCTATGTCCTTTCAAGGCTGCCCGTGAGAAAACAATTTCGAGGAATTTATGTTCATTTTGTGAATCAAAATTATGTGATATATTTTTAATTATTATATATATATATATATATATATATACATATATTTACATATATGTATATGTTGATTTTCAACGTATTGCTGTATATCGTTTTTCACCGGAATAAGTCGTAGGGCAGGTTGCATCATATTGGAAGTAATCGAGATTTATTATTATTAAATAGAGAACGATTAGATTAGATTTGGAGGAAGGTTTGTTTTCATGTTGTTAACCCTTTCGCTACTACAGTTGACTACAGTCACTCGCCAGCAAAACGCCGAGTATACACGACGAGTGAAACTACAGTCATCCACCAGCAAAACGCCGATTATACACGACAAGTGACTACAGTCATCCGTCGCATCATCTCTTACAGTAATGTAGCCCAAAAATCAAAAGCCAGATGCTATCGATTAGATTTTTTTCTGTTCACAAACAATTGCAAGCGCTTCTTTTTTACTTTTTACTTTTTCAATGTAATGTTACAGTCATTTTTAAGACAAACATCTTGATTACACAATGTTCGAAGACGCACACTTTTGGCGAGGACCGGCGTAGCAGCGCGAAAGGGTTAAGAAGAAGAAAAAAAAAAGAAAAAGGAGACAAAACAAAATGAAATGATTTAATTTGTCCTACAGAAAAAAAAAAGAAAACATTAAATCGAGTCTCCCTTTCTTTCGAAAAATCAGAGAAATGACTGTCGTTATCATCGCATGTATATCATGTTTATGTAGTTGGTAGTTGGATAATGATGATGATGATGATGAGTGTATGAACACGTGTGTGTATGAATCGAAAATGATGAAACATATAATATTATACGTTCGTATAAATATATCGGTGTGTGTGTGTGTGCGCGTTCTTTCAATTAGATTTGTTTCTTTTTTCTTCTTATCGTCAGAATATCTCCCCTCCCTTCCCCTCCCAGCCCCCACCTCTAATAAAATTCTACCAAATTCCTCTCTCTCTAAAATAAAAAAAAAACACAAAATTTCTTCACGCAAATGACAACGGGATTTGAAGCTAATTTTAATTCATCTTTTTTTCGTTTATTACATTAGAATACTACAATGCGCCCTAATTATTTTCATTATCTTGTTCTCTCATGAAAATCAAGGTTAAAACGCTAATTGCGATTCTATCGAAATAAACTGCAGATTACACAAAATCCCCCCCCCCAAAAAAAATCGGACAGCATCCATCATCACAACACGCGATTTACGACCGATGCAAAGTTTTGTGCGAGTCCACCTTTCTTTTATTTTAAATTCACAATATTTATATATGTGTGTGTGTGTGTGTATGTGTGTGAGAGAGAGAGAGAGAGAAAGAAGGTAGAGGATGTGATTCGCAATAATTCGCATAATTAACATATATATATATATATAGATATCATGGACACTTCTCTTCTGCCTAAATTTTACCTTCCCAAGGATAAGCCTTAGGATGCAGACGCATATCTCTATGTATATGTATATGTATAATTTTCTCTCCCTCTCTCTCACACACACRCACGCACGCACGCTCTTACCCTCCCTCCCTCCCTCTCTTTTTCACTCTATACATATATATACATATATATATGCATATACATGAAGCACATCACGCAGGAAGGATTTCGTTACTTATCAGTCTCTATCATCTTGAAGCCTGGGCAGATATTAACTGTCTCGGTTAGGATGCTTGGCAAGAAATCTCCGAGGCCAAGGCAAAGGCCAATTGTATTGTCGTGGCACTGTACCACCCACGTTTTTCTCAAAATATTTGAAAATAGGAAACCACCAGAGACGGGCCAGAAAATTATTTGGTCCGTTTTGCTGTAAAATGAGAAAAATAATCAAACAAACATTATTAATAATTATAAGAAGGCATTGAATGTTAAATACAAATATGATTTATAAAAGATATTTTATGTTGGTAGTATGTATATTGGGGAACGTACCTTCAAATAAGAATTATTTGCTAATGTATGGTATATATACCATAAACGTGTAGTTACATAATATGCTATAAGGACATCCACCGTATAATGTCCATGAGCTACCAATACCATAACTATGCCAACAAAGACCGTAAGACCTGCCAACCAGTGAATCGGTTGACATCTCCTCGGAGAATCTGTAAGGAAGGAAAAATAAAAGTACATTTACGTAAAAGGTTTGATTATATTATACAGTACTCGAGTAAAACCGATTATCATTATAAAACTACCAGGATATCAAAGATTGTCAGATGATAAGGATACAAATGATATCCTTGTTATTGTCTATGATAAATTCTACTAATATATACTTGAAGAATATTTCAATATTACGTACACTCTTTAATAATCAGGTAACTAAGTACAAGTACAACCGTGTGACCACTGTAGATGTAATCTCCGCAATAAGTGTGTTTGCCATTTATCGATAAACCAAAACCGGATATAAGTCTTAGCACTCTTTTGGTAACAAGAAGAGGACTCGTGTTGTTAGCCTTTGGACTGCAGAAATAAGTTTTACTTGCGACCGGTAAAACGGTCACGTACATTGTAACGCTTCTCATCATGTACAGTAGACCCATCAAAAGAAATATTCTTCTAACGACGATAAACCTGTATATAAAAGAAAATATTCAATTAAATTGAATATAAAACGTGTTCATCGATTACATCAATGAAATCACGTAATCAAGCTGTAAACGTTCAACTTACCTGTGTTTGTGAAAAATAAGAAAAACCATTGCCGAGTTGGACATTATCATAATGAGAACTTCGGATACATTAAGAGCCCAATCTTGGGCAGTAACATTATCCAGAACAACGTCTGGTAATGGGCCATAGCTACTCCGATCTGGAACACGTTCGTGCACCATCGCAAGTGAGGCCGTGGTCAGTATGAAGTTCACGACCATGAACAGGAAAGCTATTGGGACAAGAAAATAATCAAATTTAAGGAAACAAAAAATAATCACGAGTAGTACAATCATATTACTGGTTAATTGAATCTTAACGAGGCTAAATGGCTAAAATATCAACGATTTTACTAAGGGTGCCCCGCCACGCGTTGCTGTGGCTCACAATCAGAGTCCGATACACACGCATAATAAATAATTCGCGATTAATAAAATAATATTGCGATTCTAAATTAAGATATAAACTATGCTATCTTTCAAGTTGAATGAAACTGCACAAAGTGTGTAAAATTTGATTAAAATCGATTTAGTAGTTTAAGAGTCCATTACGGACAAACAACGTGACACGTAATTTATGTATATTAAGAAGAAAATTATTGATTGTAACACATATAAATCTAAATAACCATTTCACATATCATCAATAAATCCTTGTTTAAAAGTTTACGAATGAATGAGAATGAGTATTACCGAGAAAAGTTTTCCATTTTTCTTTTGGGAATCTTGGCTCCTCGCGAAGCGGCGCCGGTATGTCGATTTTAACGACGCCGCTTCCTGGTCCATTCGTTATTCCTGGATGACGTCCAAGACCGTCGATTTTCTCCTCCTCGTCGTCCTCGTAATAATCTGAACCAGAAGCCACCCCGGACGACCACTTGTCCTTACTCTTAGTTGGTGCACCAGGTAAAAGAGGTTGCCTTTGATAAACGTCACTCGATTGTGCCATTCCGCTGCTACTCCCATCAACAGCCGCCTCCACGTCCCTCTCGTGACCCTCCCCACCTCCCAATGGTCGATCGAAACTTCCGTAATCGCTATGCAGACTCGTGACCTTGGGGTCCAATACCATCCTAAGATGTAAAACAAATAGAAACTATAGAAATAGGTCTTTTACTTCAAGTGCACTTTCTTTTTTTTTTTTTTTTTTTTAAATGTAACTCTTCCCTTTTGTTTTTTATTATATTGCAATAAAACAAAACTTTGAAATAAATCATTTAACATTACTTAACAAATGATGTTTTTGATTTGATGTTTTTCAAACTCTCATATACTCACTTAACTACGACTCTATAGACTTCAAACTTATTGTTAGTTTAAGTACAACGCAACGTTTGAGATATTCTAAGTTACTGACTTACATAGACATAACTATCTACATATATATATACGGTAGGATTTGTATGAATATTTAAACCTAACATCACACTAACCGATCGAATTCAACCGTAAACTTTTTCTTCATACTTCGAATAGAAATACGTTGAAAAAAAAATCACATACGTATGCTGTATGAATATAATTATTTTGTTTATCTCATTTTATATGGTAGAAAAAAAAAGAAAAATATCTTGATTTATTATAATATATTCATCAATAACACATGCTACTATTGGTATCTCTATAATCCTTTTATCTATCATTTATTCATAAAAAATATGGCGAATAAAAAACATATACTCGGTTAACTTCAAATTCGATGATTTAAAATTCAAATTATGAGATTTATTAAATATGTTAAATTATGTAGATATTTTATATTAGATGATTGGTCAATAAATATTGAATATTTATTTAAATTAAACATTAAATATAAATAATGATAATAAAAATATATAGACACAAAAAATTAATTATTAGATAGAGTTCCATTTTCAAATAAAAGAGAAAAACAAAATGGCACGTATCTCGACCTCGATAGATCTTGGCGTAACTGAGAAAGAACTGTTTCCACAGTCTCTAAGATTTAATATTTTTCAACGACATAAATATATATATATATATTCGACATTCTTTTTATATTTTTCTCTCTTTCTTTTTCTATATAAAAATAATATATATATGTATTTCTCAATGGAATACAACCGGACATGATAAATCAGGATACTTCTGCTGCATGTGAATGAACTCATCATCATAATCATTATGACGATGACTTTCACTTTATTTATTTTCATAATAATCATTTATTCCTCACGATGAAAATACGATTGAATCATTTGACACTATAATGGTCGATGAATTAAAATAATAATAATTGCATTAGACAAGAATGACTTTCAATTTAATTTAAAATACTTTTTTCCTGTCAGTGTTTTTCTTTCTTTTGTTTTATTTCTATTTAAATTAGAAACACAAGTGGACATATATCGTTTGACAAATTGTTCATGCAATTCGTAAAAATACCAAAAATAAAAATAATAATTAGGGACGATTATCGAATGAAATATTGTTAACTATTCGTATTTACAGTTAGGTAAGTTTGAAAGATCGAAGACTCCTATTTAGTTCTAAGTAGCAAATCAAACAGGAAAGACAATTTGTGGGAGTATTGCCAACCACATCGAGCATAAAACAGTCAACAGTTAGAGATGTGCCTTGAGTAAATCATCCGATTAAAATCTTATCTCTCTTTCAATTTTCTTTCTATTATCTTTACACAAATGATTGGTATCGAATCAAACTTATTTGTTCCCAGATCACTCTATATATATATATGTATTTAATTGTAAGTTTTAACACATACAAGGATCATCATCATCATCATCATCACATTAAAAAGACCATGCAAATACTATTATTTTCACAATGAAATTATCATCTTGTAAAAAAAAAAAAAATACACAAAATGTTAATTTGTCTAACGTGTTTGGCGCCATTGCAAACTTATCCACCAATAATAATACTATCACTGTCAAAAGTCAACGCAAATAAAACATCTGTCGTTGTTGTAATTTTAAATAAATTATTTGTAAATACAAGAAAAACATAAAAAACACAACAAATATTCACCACTGTATTTTAATTAACGAAGTGTAAATGAGAGAGAAAGAGAGATACGTGTGTCAAGTTAAAAACAAATGAGAATAATAATGAAAACTCAAAAGAGAAGCTAAGTTAATTGTACAGTCTTTAACTAAAGCCTGATAAAGAGTGTATCAATCACGTGAACTTGTGACAGTGTATAAGCGTAATAACAAAATTTTTATCAGTAAAACGATTATTATGTTTTCCAAACAATTTATACTTTCAACGCGAGTAGCAAAGATCGTGCACCGCTAAAAATATACACACGCATATTTCAAACATTATATAACGTGTTAAAATATACAAAATATTATAAACGTGTTCAATTTGAAAATATCTCAACGTTCGTGTGCATTATACATATATACATACATCTATACGTAAGTATGATTATAAATATTATATATATATGCTAGGGGTACCCCGCCACGCGTTGCTGTGGCTCACAATCAGTCCGATACACGCGCCTTCAAGTCAACGAATTACCTTATACCGCCAACTGTTATAAACTAAGAGATTTAAACTATCCTATCTTTCAAGTTGAATGAAACTGCACACAGTGTGCAAAATTTAATTAAAATCGGTTCAGTAGTTTAGGAGTTCATTAAGAACAAACAACGTGACACGTCATTTATATATATATATTAAAAAGAAAGAAGAAGAAGATATAAACGATAGATATGAAATATAAATGAAAAGAAAGAAAAATATTTTCTCTCACGTTCTTCCATTTTGTTTTACAAATATATACACATACATATATACATCAATGCAAGTAGGAAGTGTATAAAAATTGATAAGCTTGTAATAAAATAATTTGAATTGCAAAAAGAACAAATAAATGAATGCTGGTCTTTCGATTATTTTATGCTGGTCTTTCATTTGCAACGTAAGTGCACGAATGATATGCAGTTAAATAAAAAAAGAAAGATGGAAGAACATTTTCACTTTCTTTATAATCAATTATGCGAAAATTTTCACATTATTACATTTAAGAAACATATACAAAGAAGACCTTTAAACGCGTACAGAATAAAAGAAAGAATAAAAAATAATAAAAAAAAAGGGATACGAATGGAATTAAGGTTAAACCCTTGAAATCATCTACCGTGAAACGTTTCCATTGTATTCGTTAAATCGATCGATAGAAAGAAAAAAAAAGAGAGAGAAAGAGAGAGAGAGAGAGAAAGAGAGAGAATCTCACGAAATTCGAAGGACTTTTCCTCGTTGTTCTCTTAGTTTTCATTTCTTTCATTTTCTTTTCGTTTCGTTTCATTTCGTTTCATCCCTCGATTCATCCCTCTCGTAAACTGTCGAAAACGAATTCGTACGAATGGGCCAACGTTGATTTCTTTTTCTCTCTTTTTTTTATTTCACCGTTTGTACATAAAAGAAATATATATAATCCATCTAATTAATAGAATTTTAAATTATAATGCATGAATTTTAATTGTATTTTATCATTTTTATGTAATTATTTGAAAGTTACCGCACAGTGATGACTACCAGGATCAAATCTTCTTGCAATATAAAAAGAATGTATTAAAGTATCGAAATATTTGTTAATTAATCGATAAAAATGTGTATTGTTGTTTAAAAACACCAAGTATATGATCGGAGAACCGTCCTCTTCGAAATTCACCTTCAGACTGACACGCGGTCATCAATGAAAGTTCTTATATTGAATGTTGTTTTCACGACCTTCCGATAGTTTCACATGTGTACAACGGGTGTACTATTTCTAATTAATAGAATTTAAGATTATAACGCTCGGATTTTAGGTGTTTTATCATTTTTATGTAATTATTTGAAAGTTCCCGCGCAGTGATGACTACGAAAATCAAATTTTACTATAATGTACTATAATTTAACTGTATTAACAATTAATTAAAGTAAATAATTGTTTAAACTTAAATACATTTGTTTTATGTATATGAATATGTATATACACATATATTTGCATGTAGATGTAAACGTGTATATCTATGTGCAACAGGTTACTGACATAGTTATGGTTATACCTAGGTAAGAACAAAAGCACGAACGATTGACTGAACATAATCTTATTGGCGTATAATCCATGATAAACATATATATATATATATATATATATACATGCATATATACGTGAATACACACATGTTTTGAAAAAGTGTGTCAGATATAGGCCAAAGTTAACTGAAACGCAAGAAAACTATAAACTAATAGAAGAGAATAATGGTACCATTTGTTATCACCAATCGTCGTCAGTTATCAACTGAATAAAATAATAAATTGTAAAAATTGAATATTACAAAATAATTCGTGCAAATTTGTGTTGCAAGATAAATGGCCGTCTCGTTATTTTAAAAAAAAATTTGTTCGAGGTATAAAGGGTAGAGGTAAGGAATAACATCTCTGTATATGAAAAGTATCCATCGAAATGCATTCAATTAGGGTGGCGCAACAGTAGCTTGAAGGTAAATTTGAAAAGAAGCGCCAAATATTATTTAGAGTAGGATTGAGAAATAAACAAGGAATACAAATTTCACAAGACAACATTTTACCCATAACTGTTTTGTCAAAAATCAATAAACGTGTACTATTCACAGTTAACGAAATAAAATCACTCCTAGTTACACGTTTTCTCATAATAATTCTTTAAGGTTATATTTTATTACATTATTACATAACTCGACATACTTCAATTCGTTTACAATGGCTACATTCATACCATACCTTCTGTCTACACCAGCGCCATTCTGGAAGGTTTTTCAACTGTTATTTATAGAAAACGTTGGACACTTTTTTCACATTTTCACTTCCCATAAGAGATGTTACTCCTTACCTCCTATCCCCCATAGTTCAAGGATACTCGTTTATATGCAATAAATTTGTTGAGACCTTGTAAATGTAAAAAAAGATTAATACATAAAAAAAAAAAAGGTAAAAAGATAATGGGAGAATAATTTAATTAACAAAGCTTGATCGAAGATTATTATTGCATATACAATTACGTCATTCTATGACGAACATATAGTTCTTTTATATAAATATTTGAGAATAATTGCGTGGCAAGGAATAACTCGTTGTAACTTCATATAACTCTATAACTCTTTTACGTATTTTTACGATTGCATTTTCCATTATTATTTCACGAGTCAAAAAGGCAGATAACAACAGTAGGACATTGTTCAACATCGTTCACAAACAACTACTTTTACCATTTCAACTTTTTACATATTCTATACACAAGTATAAGTTCATAGATGAAATATTTTTTTCTGGTATATAAGATCACGATTGAAATTAATTTTACAATTTAAAATGAAAATGTTTCATGGTTTGTTCAAAAACTTATCACAACCCGCCATAAAAAAAAAAAAAAAAGGAAACATTTACTATCTTTAGAAAAAGCAAATTTCTTCCGTATGAGATGATCAATATAATAATAAAAAAAAAAAAAAACAAATACAAAGATAAAAATAAGTAGGATTTACCATTCCTTAGATAACTCCGTATCCTTATCATCCACCATTTTAATATCTTCGTAAAAAAAAAAAAGAGACTACTAAAAAAAAAAAGTAACAAGAAATGAGATCAATCGAGAAAATAGAAAACAATAATAAATAACGAATAGATAAGAATGCTTCTAGAAAAGCAAAGAGCACAATAATTATTGTACGATAAAAGTTAGTTCGACACTTGTATCGTTAAGAGGGGGAGGGAGAAAGATATATTGTATGAGATACACCACAAGTGGCACTAGATAATAAATTCACAGAATGCTATGGTTCACAGATTTTGTAATAATATTATTTACAACACGCGATAATAACTCTGTAAAACATTTAAATGAATAAATTCCAAATGAAAAGATACATTTACATTTTTTTTTTTTTTTTTTTTTTAGTTAGATTTTAAATTGAAATATCTACGAGAATAAGTTTGTCATCAGTCAAAAGAATGATGGGGAAAGAACTAATACGATTCCCTATATACTACGTTAATCAAATTCAATGATTCATCTTTTTCAATAACTTTGTTAATTAAAAATATATTGAGATCTTTAGCAATTGAATACAGCTATCTGGTGGATTAATTCAAAATTAGAGTAGATAGGTCGAATTGCTACGACGTCACGTGGGATCTGTAGCACTTGAATACTGCTATCTGGTGGATTCATTCAAAATTAGAGTAGATAGGTCAAATTGCTATGTCACGCCCCTCCCTGCCAGAGATCCAAATATTTTCTATTATTTTTAGAATTGTATTCTTTTATAATTCGTTTCATCGAAGTCCCATAATTAAATAAACCCAAACACGCACGCACGCATAAACAAGGAAAATAATAAAACCCGATATCGAATAACTATTTGTAATCGGATAAAAATGACATAATTAAGATGAACACACGTGAAACTCGAAGATGACATTTAACACCACACGCTCTCGGAAATCATTCAATCTACTTTGAACATTCGACGTACACTGCAATTTTTTTTCTTTATGTCCAAGAAATTAACGTTAATCACTGGTTTGCGGTTACTCCCTTTTCCTTCCTTCTCCTTCTCCTTCTCCTATTCTCTCTCTCTCTCTCTCTCTCGTTAACTATTCAACAGACAAACAATTGTATGCACGAATACAATGGATCGAATGTGTTTAACAAAAGTTGCGATTAGATCATTTTTAAACGTGAGTAATGATCCTTTCGCAATATTTATTATGACTGCAAAACACAACGTATTCTTGATAAAATGATAATTTTGACAATGAAACCTAAATGCAACGTTAAATACATTGATTATTAAATTAATTGTTATTATTATCGTCACATATTTTTTGTATTATCGACAAACCAGAAAGAAAAATAATAATTTACGTAATTCAATAATTTGCTAAGAACAATATGAGTTAATTGATTGAAATGTTGTTTTTTTTTTTTCACTTTAACACGTTCATCGACATGTCACCGTATAGAAGAGACGGGCATGCTTCTCCGGGAGTCCCGTCACCGTATACGGTGACACGCTCTTCTTGTTGAAATTATGGGGCTGCCCGCCACGCTTTACTGTGGCTCACAATTAGTCCGATACACACGTCAATAAAATAATATTGCGATTATAAATTGTGATATAAACTATCGTATCTTTCAAGTTGAATAAAACTGCACAAAGTGTGCAAAATTTGATTAAAATCGGTTCAGAAATTTAGGAGTCCATTGCGGACAAACAACGTGACACGTAATAATTTATATATTTTAAGAAGGAGATTATTTTCAATAAATAAAATATAATCATAATGTATGCAACCCATCGGGTTGCATTATTGATATTTCTACTTATCACTTCTTTACATTACGTTGCGCCGATAGTCGAATTTTGGGCCTAGCGAGAAACTCAACCGAAACACGGGGCTGGGGCGATGAACGTGTTAACGTGGAAATAAATTCTGTTTTTTTTTTTTTTCTTTTTATCTACCAACCCAACGTAATATGAACGAAATTTATTGGATTTAGAAGGAAAAAAAAAGTATCCGAATTATATTTTACGACTGTTTATACGCATAAGTTTATTTTTACGTGTGATATGTATATGTGTGTGTGTGTATGTGTTCTATGATAAATGATACCCTCCCTTAGATAGAAAGTCGTTCGTAAATAAGAATATTGTAAGGAGGAAATTGGAAGACAAACATTAGGAAAAATATTTATCGAATAATCGATAAAATTTATCGAAGCAAGAAAACAGTTCCTGTGAGAGAAACCAACTGCAATTTTTCTCTCTCCACCATGAAAACTTTTGCTTCGTCTTTTTCTCTCTCTCTCTCTTTCTTTAGTCTTAACTTTTTCGAAAATACCTTCTTCTTCTTTCTTTTATACGTACTACCTACATTAGTGTGTGTCTTTATTTAGAACTAATTCAAACCCTGTTAAGATCTTTTTCCACTTTGGTGAATTTAATCGAACGGTTGTTCCATTTTAAAAACGAGGATTACTATGAACAATCTATGCAAAAAATAATTGGAAATATTTTTTGTTTATTAATTTACTGTTATAATTAACAAAATATTCGTAACTATGAGCTAATTATTTCTTTTTTTTTTTTTGAAAATTGTACATTGATTGATGGAAAAGTTTTAAAAGCCTAATTTATAGAAAAACAACTTGAACTAAAAGAAAAATTAGCTAAAATTGTTGTTCATTACTTTGTAAAGTTGTTTAAGTTAATTTTTGAAATACCCAAAATAGTTGTTCTATTATTTTTGTAATATTAAAGACAAATTTTTAAGCTTGAAAAAAAAGGGAAAGTTGAACGATAAGAATTATTTCTGCATCCTATCTTGAATCTCTCTTCCTGTAATATTTGAAACTTCGAAATACTTGCATTATATTTCTCTCTCTCTCTCTCTCTCTCTCTCTCTCTCTCTTTCTCTCTTGAGTTTACCTACTATCAGTTATCAATTACGTCAGCAACATAAAATTACCGTTAATCTAAGCCGTGACTCATTTTCTTCTTCTTACCCGTTTCTGATTCATATTTATACTAGTAGAATGAAACGATGTCTTGTGCATTTAACATCGATTTAAAGAAAATAAGAAGAAGAAGAAGAAGAAGATTCTTTTCAATTTTGATTAAAATGAAGAAAAATGAAAGATCGACGATTAATATACAAAGTGAAAAATAATTTGGTAATAATATGATGAAGAAGATCTATCTCATCGTTCACATCTTCATCTTCTAATTTAGAAGAAGATTTTATCTCTGGTAAGTTCATATATATATATATATATATAAATAAAAGATGTTCCAATTAATGAAATACCCAAAATGGTTTCAACTCGACATGTCGTTGTAATATAAAACCAACAAATATTTATTATCTTTAATATTTTCTATCTAATGTTTTTTTCTCGACAAATTTATCTATTACGTAATACGAATTGATTGTCAGACAGATAATTAAATTTATATTCAGTTAATAAAAAAAAAAATGAGTGGACTAATCGAGATAAAATTAATTTATCAGATTACGTCAAGCTAAGTATAGTTAATCCTTCATTATACTAGATAATCACGAAAGATAATGAACTTCTTACTCTTTTTTACAATTTGATTGAATTTTAATATTCATTTATGTAATATTAATATCTGAGATAAAAAAAAAAAAATGGAAGATTTATTAACACGTTCGTCGTCATGTCACCGTATAGAAGAAACGGGCATGCTTCCCCGTAGGCCCCCCGTCACCGTATACGGTGACACGCTTTTCTTGTTGAAGTTATGGTATTTTTTTAGTTGGAAAAGCTTATCACATTTATCCATTTCGAAAGAAAATTATTTTCGGTAAATAAAAAATCCGATAACAATCCGATACACACGTCTTTAAATCAACGAATTACCTTATACCGCCATCTGTTATAAACTAAGAGATATAAACTATCCTATCTTTCAAGTTGGATGAAATTGCATACAGTGTGCAAAATTTGATTCAAATCGGTTTAATAGTTTAGTAGTCCATTGCGGACAAACAATGTGACACGTAATTTATATATATTAAGAAGAAGATTATTTTTGGTAAATAAAATATAATAATATAATATAACTATAATACTCGGATTGCATTATTGATATTTCTACTTATCGCTTCTTTACGTCACGTTGCACCGATAGTCGAATTTTGGGCCTGACGAGAAACTCAATCGAAACGGTCTGGGGGCCGACGAACGTGTTAAGGAAGAAAAAAAAGAGTATGAAAATACTTGAATAATATCGCGCATTTTTGCACTATGCAATAATAATACTACAATAGAAAGAAAAATAATTAAACGTTACTAAAGTACCAATCAAAAAGATACAAAAATAAACGATCATTAAAGTAATCTCGTGTTGTGTCAATTGACTAACAGTGAGCGTGATATTAACGTGAAGTACGCTATAATTTTATGACATTAACGAATATCACGGAATAATAGAAAACCATTTTTTTTTTCTAATGTGAAATAAAATTTCTTCGATATAATAGATAAAAATATTGACCAACACACATCTAATCTCACGCATATATTTACATACATAAAATAATATATATAAATTATTACGTGTCACGTTGTTTGTCCGCAATGAACTCCTAAACTACTGAACCGATTTTAATCAAATTTTGCACACTGTGTGCAATTTCATCAAACTTAAAAGATAAGATAGTTTATATTTCAATTTATAATCGCAATATTATTTTATTGCAAATTATTTGTTCATTAATAAAGAATCATGATTAAAAACGTGTGTATCGAACTGATTGTGAGTTACAACAGCAATGCGTGGCGGAGCCACCCCTAATATAATTATATAGTTTGTTCTACCGAAAAAAAAAAAAAAGAAAAAAATCACGAATAATACATGAGAAGTATTTCTCTCTGAAGAAGAGAAAATTCGAAGAAATTTCCAAGTACGAGTTTAGTCACGCACGTTTCTATTTTCGTGGAAAACTATGTGAACAAAGTCGTTCAAAAGCAAATACTTTTGGTTAAAAGACTTAAAAAAAAAAAAAGGAGGAATAGTTGAATGAAAAAGAATAGTTGAAATAGGAGAATAGGGATGTCGTAAAAGGACGAAACCTATCTCATAGAAAATTTGACCTGAGTCCGAAAGGGACAAAAAAAAAAGATAAAAAGGGAAAAAAGGTTCGATTTCTAAAAAAAAAATATGATTTGAAAAGGAATTTGTCGTACGATTGTAAAACTTTTTACAATACGCAAAAAGAGATCGTACATTATTACAAGCACACAACTATAAATTTGTGATGATCGTAACGGGTTACGTAATCGTTGTGAGCCGCCCCTTCCTGAGCAATAACTTTAAAATCCCACGTATTACGCGATACTAATCTATGTGTGTCGAGTACATATATATATATATGTGTGTGTGACGTCGAACAGAGATAGAATGAATTAATTTAGGTATATGAAGAACGTTACTGTCGCATGTTAAACATCCAGAGAAATATAAGTTAAAAGATAATCATTCAAGAGTTCAAATAATCATTTCTATCGAATGAACAAAAGGAAAAGATACATAACGTGATTATTATTATTATTATTATTATATATTCATTGTTTAAATTATAAATTAACGTTAAATGTTTCATTTTACAATGATATGATCACGATCGATATCTTTTAACTTATTGCAATTTATTTTTCAAAATGAACAAATTACACGCATTATTACACGTGTGTGTGTGTGTGTATATATATATGTATATAAATATATATGTTGATTTTATTAAAAATTATTTCTAGACTTGTTTTACGTTGTGAACTGTAACAGCTTAAAATTCAGAGGGTTGGTAACAAACGACAAAACTCGTATTGTACATGGGAAGCCTTGTAAACGTTCACCTAAAACCACGAATACGTACAAGGTGAGCTGCAAATATTTCAGACGATTATTTTAACGCTAAGCTTAAATTTATTATAAAAAAAAAAAAAGAAATTAATTACTTGTTATTAATTTTATTTATCATTTCAGAACATATGATAATTCATAACCAAGGCTAAAAAGAACTCTTGATTAATCATCCTGTATTCAAGGACGATAAAAGTAGAAAGGACACGAGATAAATGGAGAACACGACGAAATCCGGGATTTACAATTTAAAAAAACAACAACAACAACGACAAAATATCTACAGAGAATTTTTCACCGAATAATTTAAATCAGAAGGACAAGATTTTTTAAGTGAAAGTTAAAAAGATCAAGGTAAAGTTACATACACGCGCTAACCAAGGTCACATGATAGTAGTTCTATATCAAAAGTTAATGCGTTTAAAATGGCGCCATACACCACGCACAAGTGTGTCTGCTTGCTCGTGCACTGAACTAAATACATATTTACGTTGAAGAAAATATTTCTTAAGCTATACACACACATACATATATATATATACATAAACGTTTTCAAAGGTGATCAAAGGAAAAACACGTTTATTCGCCTCGTATTATATAAAATAAATTAAAAAAATAAAATAAAATAAAACTCAACAAAAACTCTTTCATTATCGAGCGTAAAATCGTATCGATAATAAGATGATTGTGATATTGAAATAAAAATTAAAGATTGATGAAATTGTACCTGTATCAAAGAGAACTCTCTCTCTCTCTCTCTCTCTCTCTTTCTTTTTATTTCTATTTCTTTCTACGTCGGATAATTGAAGGTTTTTCTATCTTTCGAAAGGGTGGTAGATTTCAAAGGGTGTAATATCGAAGGTGGGAGCGCCGTTGCGTATAAATTAATAAACGGTTACACACGTACGCACAATGTTTATATATGTATATATACAAACATGCAAATATATAATATAAATACACATACACGTACACGTACACGTGCGTATTTGTTAAAACAACGACGACGACGACGACGACGACAACGACGATGACGACGAACACATTCTAATAGTAGTAGTTTGTTCTATGTTGGTCTTTTCGAGTGCACGTGTACTCTCGACTCACTCGGAAATGCGCGCGCGCACTAACCGGAAAGAGAGAGAGAGAGAGAGAGAAAGAAAAAGAAAGAAGAAGAAGAAGAGAAAGAAAGAGAGAGAGATGGAGAGATGGTGAACGCTTACTACGGTCGTACAGGTGGTTAAACGCGTTGATCTTGTTATTACCTTATTGGTAAATATACGCTCCAAAAATAAGAAGAAGATGATTTAAAAAATGAAGATGAAGATAAACAAAAGTGATCGATTTTTTTTTTTTTTTTTTTTTTTTTTTGTATTAAAACTAAGAATTCTAAATGCAATAACAGAAGCTATTACGTGACCTCTTTCTTCTTCTTCTCCCTTTCCCGTTAACAATAATAATTGATTGTAAACGTAACAGATTCAAGATAGAACGGGAAAGAGAAAGAGAATGTTTCTCGCGATATTGCTCATGCATGACTGACTTACATTAGATTCTAAAATCGACTTTATTTATTGTCATACCCCCAATGTAGATGTTGCGTAGGTGCGAAACTACTCTACGAGCAAGAGAGAGAGAGAGAGAGAGAGAGAAAGAGAGATATAACTATGATGTAAACGTGTGTCTTGAGAAAAAGAGAGAGAGAACTAGCTAGCTATATTCAAACATGTAGCATTAGATTTGATGACTGCCAAGGTCAACTAATTTCCATGAGAATCAATGGTCAGATGTTTCTTCACACTCCTCTTTCTCTCTCTTTTTAATAGCATAAGGAAGTATCAAAGTGTTATCGAAGAAATATTATGTACTGTTTGCGAATACATTTTACATACAATTTCTTTAACTATAAATAATAACATTTGATAAATGGGTTTATACGATGATGCATTTCATATGATATTGGAATGTTACAGCAAAAGAGTATTTATGGTAATACGTAACAATGCATTGGGTGTTCAACATAATCTAAGGAGAATGCAGGGAGTGCAGGGTGATAATGTTGTTGCTTATAGTTTTACTAAGAAAAGAAACATGCTTGAAATATGAAAATGTTTATATCAATATTAGATAAGTTTGAAATTGTTTTTCTAATGTATTCGCAACTTAGTATATCTTAAAGTGCATCAGTGTATTATTAGCGCATACAAACATTCAAAGTAAATGATCCAATGTAGTAAATGAGAGATTGATGAATGTTTTTTAAAGACCAATGGAGATTTAAAGTAAAAGATTCTCAATGTATAATTTACAAACTAGATAATATAATAAGCATGCATAAGAATATAATCAAGTGGTTGGTTGTATCATTTACTTCTCATTGCATACATATAGCACTATGACTGCAGGTCTTTGTCAATTTATAATAAACTGAAGTATTAAATAGGATATTAATGTTAGATAGAACTAAATAATATAAATAAAACAAAAATGAAAATAAAAGTAAATCTAAAGAGAAAGCAATATGGATAACTAAATGTAAGAATAAGACCTCGCCATACCTTGTTAAAGCACTGGGTAATTCTACCTTGACGGGTAGTCTTAACTTATGCATTTTATCTATACGTATATATCTGCGCACTAGGATTGTATAGTTCTCATTACTTTGCAATAGTACGTGCTAATATAAGATGCGTGCGATACGTAAATACGATAGAACGATGAGAGAAATAACATAACCAACAAAAAAGAAGAAAATAATAGACTCGATAAGTAACACACGATGATGTCACGGTAAAAAAATGTACATATGAACAAGCACATTACCAAACAACACTAACCAACTATATACACGAAGGAGGGGAGGAGGTGTTGAAAAGAATTATTTTACATGGACACTGAGACGATATACGAATCTTCCGTCGATATCGCGATCTTTGAAGAAGGACTTCTGATAAATTAGATCTACGGCGCAAACTCATAACACTATTTCTTCTGTCATTTCGACGACGGCCGATTCAATCGAACGTTTTTATTAATCGCGTAAATCACCACCACGTCACGCGCACTATCATCCACACTCATGACTCGTTAGACGTGCACTGTCTCTTCCTCTGCACTTCGACCGAACTGACTGTAAATATAAATATAAAGATGGCGTCGACTGATCGAGCTCAAATACGAGATTAGGTTAGATCGCAACGTTCGACAGAGAATGAACATTCGATTGGTCGTAACCTCTCTTTCAAATATATCACATCAATCTAAAATAAAATAATATATTATATACCAGATATATGAATAAATAAGTAATTAGAGAAATAATAAACTAAATATATACATTGATTATTAAATAAATGCTCTTATTTAAAACGATAATATAATCGAGAATTCACATCGATACCGACCGTCGTCAAATTCGTATTTTCGATATTTTTATGGCGGGATATTCAAATGACGTTGAAAAACATTGAACATTCTAAATAGATAATGACACATCAAATCTCTTACAACGATTATTATTAGATTAGATTTATTTCGAAGTAATTTGAAGCAATCAAAATATCGCTATAAATAATCCATTAAATAATACGATAATGATTTTAAAATATGCATATGTCATAGTTGAACTGTTAAAAAAAAACAGTAGATATACCATACACATCTTTATAAAGAATTGCAATAATGACAGCTATATAATCTTAAATATAAAGTAAAATTATTACGAAATATTAAAAACATTATAATAATAATTCTGAATTGTTTCGATTTAGAAAGTTCTTCTCTCACCTGAGCAATGCTTTCCTCCAGCAGTAATCCGTTTCGATTACAAGCAACTGTAATTTCATCATATACGTCGACGTTGCCCACGGCATATAAAATTTCCTCGTACGCAGTCGAACAATGCACCCACGCACGGTACTATGAACAAATTTTCTTTAATCACTTTCTAGCCTTCGACACATTTCAATTTGTTACAGTAGTAAATGTAAGAGAACCGAATCCAATTCACGAGAGATGATGATCGTTACGATCGATCATATGGGAACATACGGACAACCTTGTTCAAGTAAACAATTCAACAATTTCTTTTATTATACAAGAATAACTGTATGAGACAAGGAATTCCTTTCTTTTATTTCCTTCTTTCTTTCTTTTATTCTTTTTTATTTTTTTCTTTTTTTCTTTCCTTCCTTCCTTTTCCACCTTTCTCTTCTTTTCTATTTTGTTTTGATAACGTAATTCCTGTACGAAAAAATCGTCCCTCGCCAAACGTTAGTTACTATCACGATACATTAACCGAATACCACGACATAGTCGACGAGTGTTGTTCGCTAATGAATGATTTGCTATGTAACACTTTTCCAGGTTCGTCGACGACGCAACTCCCTCGAGGAAACGTTTTGCCACGTTCGCATTGCGTCTTCCTGCAATGGAACTCCAGCAACGTCGTTAAAAGGGGGTAGCTAAGCTTTCACAGAATTCCTACTGCGAAGCTGCTGGAACATAACTTCGACACCCCCGTAAACTACTTACATATATATCTACACATATATACACACCACATATATATAGAAGTTCTTTTGTGAGAATCCTTCGCTTGTGAAAATGTGTGTGTGTATATGTGTGTGTGTATTGGAAGCTTTTAAAAGCGCACGCGCTCTCTCATGGATCGCGGCTTTCTCGCAAATTGTTGGACACCACTGACGTCATACAATGGACGATTCATTCCAATAATTTCTATTATTTATGATATATGTAGTATATCGAACGTTCTTTAAATACATAGAGCTGCAAGTTATTTTTGAATCATTGCTTGTTATATTTAAATTGTATATACATATATATTTACATATACTTATGGATAAAGAACGTTGTTTTTTATATTGTTAGGAATTTTTTACTGTTGAAATAGTTCTATTTTTATATATCGTTCTTTTCATCAAAGTTTATTTGCCATTGTATCTTATATACTTCAAGGAATGTTGAATTAAAGAGAAGATGTGTTTCTTCTTTTATTGAATGCAGAATGCCAAACGCTTAAAAATATTTTTCAAATTTTTATTCGTTTAAAGTAATGTTTATAATACATTTGTTATATTTTTCATTTTGATATATACCTATTTCAGTAACGTATACCTTTAAAGATACGTTTGGTAATAAAATAGGATTATCCGAACAAATTTTGTTAAGTCTTAAAAATGATATAAAACAAAAATTCATTCAATTAAAGATCATTGAGATCGATTGCATCAACTTGTGAACTAATTTGTTCATTATTTTGTCCATTGTTCTCTTGGCTATTTGTTGTTGTCCTAAGAAATTCTAAACGAGACCAAAATATTGGTTCATGTTTCTTTAGTTTAACTTCTACTTTGGTAGGCAACATATTGAGACTACATTCAGCAACATTGACCATCTACAAATGACAAATGTAATAAATAATACAATTATTAATATCTCATTGTTAATAATTATTACTATTAATGATAACTTACTTCATTTAATTCTATATCTAAATTATATGTCGAATTTTCTTCTACGAGAAATAAATCCATGGTTAAATGTATAGGATTTATTCTAACGCTTGAACGATCAGGATCATAGTTCTTGGCATAAATTGAAACAACTACAAATGCTGGCGTTTGATGCCAATCCATTCTACATTGCACTTTTTTATTGTTATTCTGAAAAAACGGATAAAATTGATCAAAATTTTATTCAAAATGATATTTATTATTTCGATAAATTACCTTCGAAGTCCAATAATGTTCTCCTTCCGTGCATCCTGGTTGTTCTAAGAATACAGAAAAGTCTGTTGTTTTCTTTTGACAACACGACCAATATTTCATTCCTTCATGAAATATAGGAATTCCAGGATGATGAAGACATATCTCTTTGTCAGACGAAGGTCCTGCGTATTTGGCTTTACAAGAATTATTGTGACAACTTTGACCGATAGAAATTTGACTTTCATCTTCATTAAGTTGTGTTAACGTTGTCAAGCCTTTAATTTTTTCCAATAATACAGGTGACACGTTTGGTTTTAATGCAATTTGAGGAGAATCAAAGGGTGGTCTTTTAGTCATTGAATTATTACTATTAATTTTTGCACGTACTTCAATAACTTCATTAGCTTTAGATTTATCAATGGCAGGTTTTTCTTGTACTATAGGTTTTACATTTGTATGGTATGATTTAGTACAACCTTTGATATTTAAAAATTCGGTAAAATCTGTACACTTTTTACTACAACAAGACCATCCCTTGTAAGCATCATGAAAAACTGGTTCACCAGGATGATGAACGCAATCACCTGTAACAATATTACAAATTATAATTTTCCTTAATCAACAAATCATTTATATAAAAAAAAAAAACATTATTTATAATGGTATGTGACATGATTTATAAACACGTACCTTCTTTGTTATCGTTTGGATCAAACATTTTTCCACAGCCACGATTATAACAATGTAACAAAACCTTTTCTTCAGACATATTGTTCTATTTGTTATTTTTAATTAAATTAATGTAATATTTAAATTGTGTGCTTTTAAATTATAATTACTTTCTAGTAAGTTCAGAATCACTTCTGACGTTAAAGGATTTCTAGTACATTCTAGAGTCCATTTCAAATATTAAACCATCAAATTAGGAATTTTAAGGTTATTTCCAAGTAGCATGCAACAAATGCAGTATGTCGACGATTATTGGTTGATTAGTATCATGTACCAAAAATTGTTCAATTAAAGTTTATCATTTAAATATTTATCAAAGCAACAAAAATACATGTGTATATTTATAACAATATAATTTGTTATAACAATAAATTATTCATTTGATATTAATTAATTTTAAAATGATTATAATATTGTAGAAACATAATGTAGATTTACTGACATTTATAAAACAACACTGTGATTGGTGAAAAATAAATTCGACGATGGCAAACCCTTATTTGCTTTTAAAATAGGATAACCAATCGTGTCATCTGTCCCACGTATGACGTATGCAAGACATACTAGTGTCTGTGTATGTGTGTACTGTCTTATTTTAACCTTTCATTTATAATCTGAAGGTCTTCAAGTAAACATAGTATCATTGAACCTTATAAACAGTGTAAATTATTATTTAATCCTCGATACATTTAATTACAAAATTAGATCCGTAATGGTAAGATGTTCTAACATTAGATATGAATATTTACATATACATATTTGTTTGTTTCACTCTACGATGATATAACCTACAAATGTGAATGTTCAACACTTTGCAGGACGTATTTTTAATGATTAGGCGAAAAAATACAACTATTTTTACGGATGCTAAGGACAATACGACAGTTCATGAACTAAAGAAAATTATCGAAGGTAAATATATTTTTAATGCAGTTTTAAATGGATATATATATATATATATATATATATATATATACACATATATATATATATATCTATAATGTGTATTTATAATATATATGAATGTGTGACACATCATGCACACGTGCATATTTATTATTTATTTAAATTGTTGTATATTAATATTGAATATAAAACAGAAAAGAAATAGAAATGTAATGATTATTTTTGTTAGGTATATTGAAAGTACCACCAGTGAATCAACAATTATTTAATAAGGACAACGTTGTTATGTCTGATATTAAATACTTGTCAGATTATGGACTGACATCTGTAACCGCTAAAGCGCAATGTCCAGCATTGGTAGGATTAGCTTTACGTCAAGATAATGGTCAATTTGAACAACTTGAAATGACTCCATTTTCTCTACCGCCTGATCTTCCCGATGTTATGAAGGGTTGTGAGGCTAATGGTTCAGAGTCTCCTTGAAGTTACATAAACTATATTGTGAATCAATTGATAAAGAAGTATTGTGTTTGATACAGTTTAATATTTATGAGAAAGACCTTTCTACTAAATGCTGAAGATTTTATGAAACCAGGATGTGAATAATAGAAAAGACGTACAAGTTCTTACATTAATGCAAAGTGTCTTAGGGATTTCTCAATTTCTTCTAGAAGAAACAAAAAATAAAACAAAAAAAAAAAAGAATAAAATAAAACGAAAAAAAGGTAAAAAGATAAATAAAACAGGTAGTTGCAATACTTCCAGGTATTCGTGAACGCACAAGTACTTTTTCTCTCTTTTTTGTTTTTTTTGTACTTGAACAATTCAAATCAACATGGTAACCAAGAAATATTTCTAAAAAAAAATACGCGTTCACGGTCCCTGTACGTTAACCAAATTTAATATTAATTAGCTATGAAAATTGTCTTAAAGTTTTGTTACAGTTAAAGAAATATAATAAAATACCTCATTCGCTTATATTTAATTTATGACTAAATAGTTTATATACATAACGTTATAATAATATTTTTTTTCCTTTTTTTTTTTCTTTTTGTAATATTATCATCACACCCTTGAAATACATTTTTTTTTTTAAATTAGTTTTTATTTAATTCTGAACTGTTAAAATATATACGTATTTTACATTGCATTCAATCGCACTATAAATCTTTATCTTGTGATATATATAGAGAAAAGAAAGAAAGAAAAAACAAAATAAGAAAAAATCAATGTCTCATTTAATATTGAAAATTGATCGTGTGCAAAATTGACTACTATATCAAATATTGAATGATATTGCTTTTAAATTATTCATAGATTATTATTTTGTTCATTTTAATCCAAATTACATGCTGCTGCTGCTGCTGCTATATTTACAAATTATTACTACTCGCAACATTGTTATATGATTGTTATTATGAGAGAGATCATATAAACGAGTTAAAAACATTAAATATAACATTATTGGACATGATTTATTGAAACATTTAAAAAGTGCATTATATTAATTTCTCAACATGATAATTAATATTGTTAGAACATTTGGAATAACGTAGAAAATATTTTGTAAAAATGAGTTATATTATTTTGTAATTAAAATTGTTGACGATAATTATTAATTTGCATTATTAAAAAAAACTATTGACAATTAAATGAAATAAGAAGCCATAAAAGGTTGTTCTCACAAAATATACTGTGTACTTTATAAGTTATATATAAATATATATATATATATATATATATATATATATTTATGTATAACATAATTGCTACTATACATGTAACTATAGTACTTTAAGATAACACACATATAGCGATGTTTATAAATCATAAGAACATATTTCGTAAATTTCATAATGTTTCACAAAAATCATATATGGCTTGATCAAATTTATACAACTAATAGTAAAATTAATAATCCATAATGTTTCTTTTTGCCTTTCATACTATTTGATTAAACAGCTGATTTTAAATGATTCATTTATATGTACATTGTAAAAGAGTTTTTTTTTTTTTTCACAAATTGACTTTAATTTTATTAACAAGAACATTTTTTTATCTAACATACGTTGTATTAAATAAATAAATGCAATTGTAACTTGCTAAATTTTCCTAATGATATTATGAAATTGTGTTTATTTTCACTTTGTACAGATAATTAATGTTTTATGTAAATTTTAAATATATTTATGTGTGTGTATGTGCTAATATTACTATATCGAACTTTTCTTCTTTTTATTTTTTATTTCTTATAAAATTAATGATATAAAATGCATACTTTATGTACCATAAAAGTAAGTTTTGTTTATAAGTATGGATCGATCGATGTTGACGCATTGTAATCGATTAATTTGATTTTTTAGAAGGAATTTATTAGTTCATTTTTTTTTTTCATCATGGTTATAATGAAAGTTTCATAAACATGTTTTTGACTAGGCATGTAATGTCCACCATCGTGTATAACTCTGTTACAATATTTAAATAAACCACATACTTTTTCAGTCATATCTAGAAAAAAAAATATTAAATTAATAAAGCTGCTTAATAATAATAATAATAATATTATTATTATTATTATTGTACGTAAAAGAAAAGAATTATTTTACCAGTTGGAATAACTTTGTCAGTTCGACCATAAATATGCAACGATGGTATATCTATTGTTTCGGTATAGTATTCAGCATGTAACTTACATAATGATTTAAACCCTGATATGATAATGGCAAAATTAAACCTAAATGGATACACTGAAAAAGTAATAATTTAGTAAAACAAATTGCGAATTAAATTATACATAACACACACACACATATCTTTTATATTAACCATTTAAGTCCCAAGAGAATATTTACAACAATTAATTGCACATTCGTTTCACTTTTTCTAACCAAAAAATCTGAAAAGAGTATTGCTTGGGACTCGAACAGTTAATCTGATATAAATAATTAGTTTGTTATAATACAATTGTGATAACATAATAAGATAAAAACTCAACTGTTTTTTTTCTGCATAATGCATAAAATAGTAGCAAAGGCTGCACCCTGTGAAAAACCAAGAATCCCATCAAATGGGCCTTGTTCTTGGTGTGTTTTTTTAACTAATTCTAAACTCTCCTCAAAGCCTATACAATGATCACTTGGTACGGTTGCTTTGAATACATGATCCTCGGTATTGAACCACCAACCATAACCTAATATATATAATAGTATAATTAATTATCACAAACAATATTTTCACTTAAATATTAAAATAATAATAATATACAATAACGTACCACTTTCTTTTGAATCTTTATCAGTTTCATTTTCAGTTGGAATTTTATGAGGTGCTCTTATAAATGTTAATTCCAGTTCTCTGTTAAAACTTTTACGCAAAAAGCCCAATTTTTTTTTAAAAATAACATCAGACTGATGATATCCATGAATGGCTAAAATCTAAAATATCATGTAATATTTATAATTCAATCAACGTATGATAAGATTTTAGGATAACAAAATAATAAAATGTAAGTAAACTAAAAACACAAAGGAAAAGCAACACATAATCTTATAAGTTTGAAATAACTTTTTTCTATGCTATTAATATAATTGATTTTGTAACCTAAAACTTACCCGTAGTTTATCTGGAGCAACCGGCATTATTAAAATCTTATTAAAATTAGAATTAAAAATATCAATGTTTTAATAAATATTTTTCAAATTTCTTGTGGCAAATGCTTAAGCAATGCTTCGCACAATCGAACACTGTAAAAAATGTTGCTTTCACGTGATGCTTGCAGTCGATACCAATTCAGTAGCAGAAAATAACCAAGTGTTTTTTCTTTAAATTGGCATTGATCGAAATTGTATGTATATTATCGTTTGTAATATTGTTTATTATTGAAAAAATTCTTAAAGCTTTCTTTTCGTCGTAGCTTTTTGGAAATAATAAAAATTTAATTCAGACTGTGTTAAAAAATAAATATAAGTATGGATGAAGGTGTAAACATCGACTATTTTTTTTTATATTCTACACATAAAATGTGAATACAATTTCATTTTAAAATTCAAAACTATAAATAAATTTATTTTACAGAAATATTACTTTTGTCAACATTGCAATGGCATATTACATATTTAGTGAATTTATTCGATTGTATCGAAATGTATCGATACCTACTTTAACCATACACAGCTGTCATACACAGTGACACATAGCATTCTAACCTATAATTCAAATCTCTATATAGAAAGTATGTAGTGTTACCTGTCTAATCTTAACCTGGTCAGTGAATTACAAAGAATAAGAAAACAATAAAAATAAAAGGATTATGATTCGACATTTTTTGAAAGATATGTAAATATACAAGAGTATAATATCAACGTTAACACCAGTGCATTAAAATGTCATTAAATACATTGTTTAACAACTATCAAAGTTTAAAAACATTTTTAACATAAAAATGTTGTTTTTATCTACAAATAAAAAATAAGTGTATAAATGTGCATCTGATTGTACTTAACCTAATCTATGAATAATTTTACTACAACTATGATATATTTTGATAAATTAGTAATTCTTTATTATATTTTCTTCTGTCAAGATATTGGTACGTAAAATTTATTTATTAAGATTCTTTTTATATTGTTCAATTTTTTCTTTCTATTTAATTATCATTATTTTGTAGATGCACTTCATAGAAATTTAAAATATTATGAAACTGTACATACGTCAAACTTTCAACATAGAATTGTCAAACGAGGCATTCAACACAGTTATCATCCATATAATAAAATAAGCGAACTAGAATTTTATTCTCATGGACGGTAAGATCAATACATACATAATAATAATTATATATTTGTCTTTAGTATATTGTTTTATTTAATATATTGCATTATTTATTGTTATAGTTATTTTCGCCTTATTTTAACACCAAGAAGAGAAGTGATACATTCCAATTTTAAAGCTTATGAAGTCAATGGTGATGGAAAAGAAAAAACAATTCATTTAGGTAAGCAACATAACCTATATATATATAAAAGTACATATTAATAATTATAATTTATTTGAAATTTAGATCATGAAAGTTTTTATCATGGACGAGTATTTGGAGAAATTAATTCACATGCTCAAGTACACATCGATGAAGGGATTGTAACAGCAAGCATTACTATCTCTGACGACACATTTCACATCGAAGTAAGATATATAAATATTTTAAAATTAATTAGATTATCTAAGTAAATGACAAATTTTAGCCATCATGGAGACACCTTCCTCATTTGGGAAATGAGACGATGATCATTTACAAATCCTCAGATGTTAAACTAAGCTGGGAACATTATCAAAATGGGGTTGGTCATACTCATGGTAATCCTAAGACTTGTGGATACGTTAAAGAAGATATGGGTATGTATATTACCATAAAACATTAATAAAAATAGAATTTAAAATAAGATAAAATAAATATTTTATATGAAAGAGGTTCCAGTGAAAGACGACGAAGAGTTTATAGAAAATGATGATTTTGAAGAAAGTGAATACAACAGAGTTAAAAGACAAACGGAAACGTACGAGTATACGCCAACGAAAACAAGATGCCCTTTATTATTGGTAGCTGATTATCGTTTTTATGAAGAAATGGGTGCTAGGAACACCAAAACTACAATTAACTATTTGGTACGTCAATATTTAACTGTTTGCATTCGAGGCCTTGTTTATTCAGATGAACCAGTAACTCGAAGAAAATAATATATTTGAATGAATATAATTTACAGATTAGTTTGATAGACAGAGTACATAAAATTTATAATGACACATTATGGCAAGAACGTCAAGAGCAAGATGGATTTAAAGGAATGGGTTTTGTTATAAAGAAAATCGTTGTTCATAGCGAACCAACACGTGTAAGAGGTGGAGAGACCCATTATAATATGGTCAGAGAAAAATGGGACGTACGAACATTGCTTGAGGTACAATTACAAGAAATCATCACTTTAAAAAAAAAACAAATAATTCAAAATAAATATTAAATCTAATGTATACAGGTTTTCAGTCGAGAATACAGTCATAAGGATTTTTGTTTAGCTCATTTATTTACTGATTTAAAATTCGAAGGTGGTATTTTGGGATTAGCTTATGTAGGATCACCACGTAGAAATTCTGTAGGTGGTATTTGTACACCAGGTAATTATATTATTATTAAAATAAAGCTTGATATTTTGATTCTTAAATCTTGTTTCATATATTTTTTTCAGAATATTTCAAAAATGGTTATACACTTTATTTAAATTCGGGATTGAGTTCTAGTAGAAATCATTATGGACAAAGAGTCATAACTAGAGAAGCAGATTTAGTAACAGCACATGAATTTGGTCATAATTGGGGCTCCGAACATGATCCTGATATAACTGTAATTTCTTTCTTTCTTTTTTTTTTTTTTTTTTAAATCATTTCATGAATATGATTTATATATAATACTACAATGAATATAACTTCGATGCATAGGAATGCAGTCCAAGTGCTAGTCAAGGTGGATCATATTTAATGTACACTTATAGTGTCAGTGGTTATGACGTTAATAACAAGGTCAGATAAATAAATTTAATGAAATTAATTCAAAGTATTAATTAATTTATTGATCTATTTACATGAAATCTTTTAAATGTACAGCGTTTTTCACCATGCAGTTTGAGATCCATCAGGAAAGTATTGCAAGCTAAATCAGGTCGTTGTTTCTCAGAACCTGAAGAATCCTTCTGTGGTAATTTGAGGGTAGAAGGAGACGAGGAATGCGATGCAGGACTTTTAGGAACGGAAGATAATGATCCATGTTGTGACAAAAATTGTAAATTACGACGAAGTCAAGGTGCAGTGTGCAGGTAATATATTATCACAATGATGATAACTTGTTAATTTAATTATTTTCATGCATTAATACGTTTGCATATGTTGCAGTGATAAAAATTCACCTTGTTGTCAAGGTTGTGCTTACATGCCTGTAGGAGTAAAATGTAGAGATGCACAGTATGCAACTTGTGAACAAGAATCGCGTTGTACCGGAGCATCAAGCGAATGTCCCAGATCTCCACCAATGAAAGATGGTACTGGTTGTTTGGAACGTGGTCAATGTCGTCTTGGCAAATGTGTGCCATATTGCGAGACTCAGGGTTTGCAAAGCTGCATGTGTGATACAAGTAAATTTCGATATTCTATTAAGATTCATTTGTATCATTTACATTACATATACAAGAAATATGTATAAATAACATATTAATATTACAGTTGGTGATGCATGTAAGAGATGCTGTAGAATGAGCTTAAACGAAACATGCTTTCCTATTAAACCGCAAGATATTTTACCCGATGGTACACCTTGTATTCAAGGTTTTTGTAATAAGGTAATATTTAAAATTATTTTGTAACAATTATAAACTTTTTATTGTATTAATTATCTACATTGTATTTAGGGAATATGCGAGAAAACGGTACAAGATGTTGTAGAACGTTTCTGGGATATTATCGAGGATATAAATATTAATAAAGTAATGAGATTTTTGAAGGATAACATAGTAGGAGCTGTGATAATAATTACTGCTATTATATGGGTACCAACGAGTTGTGTTATAAGTTACATCGATAACAAACGTGTAAAAGAATGCGAAAAGAAATGGCAATGGAAACATACTGATGATCTTATTCATCCGGATGATCATAGACAAGTCATTGCTGTGGGTGCACAAAGATCAAGGCTACCCCATTCAACGCAACAATCTTGATTTTCATTCAAATTCTATTGTAACATTCCAAGTATATACAAAGTTAACTTCTAGTCGAAAATAATGTACATTTTATTAATTTTATATATAACAATTTAATAATTTAATATATATTTAATATATATAAATTATTAATAGTAATATATATATGTTCTAAAAAAGTATTATAATATATAATGAAATTAATCATTTAAATTGAATTTGCTACCAAATGTAATAATAACAAGAATAAAGAATAATTATAAATGTAATAAAATATAAAATACATATATTTACAGGTTTTGGACTACAAATGCAATTATTTGAAAACTAAATTTAATTTGTACTTGTGAAGTATAAATTGATTTAAATTTGAATTTAGTTAAAAATATTGTCACCAGGTGGAGCTTTAGTGGTGCTGTTGTCGGTAACAAGAATGTAACTAAAATTTCATTTTCTTATGATTACTAAGAACACATTTTCATGGTTAAATTACCTACATTTCCGTTTCACGATAGGAATCTACCAATCTGAAGCCGTTAAATTCTCAACAGAAAATATTTCAATTTCCACATGGACATCTGGCTTTTGTTTACGATTGATAATTTGACAATTGTAGTAGTGAAATTTATGAAAATCTCATGAGATATGGAAAATAAGTCAACGAAAGATCAGCGAGTAGAAAACTCAGGTAATTATAGATTATTTATTATTAACAAAATAATATCACGTATATATCAATTTAATGTTTTATCGCAGATGTCAACCAAGATGAGTTAATTCTTCAACAGCAAAGACGTATAGAAAAGGAGGTTAATATATTCTTCTTCAAAATAAATCCTATGCAATGTTGATTGATGTAATAATGAAAAAATTGTTAAATTAAAAGTGTAAACATTGTTTGTGTTTAGTATCTTGCAATATATCACATTTTAATATATATATAAGAATACTAAAATATATATATATATATATATATATATATATATGTATAATTGTAACTTAAATTTGATTATATTTCAGATATCTGAATCTATAGCTTTAGTTGGGGAAAAGGAACCATTGAAAAGTTTAGAACAAGAATATACAGAAGATGAAGTATATTTGTCAAAAGCTAAAGCTTTGGGAGAAAAATATTCTTATATCAGAAGAACGAGGCCCGATGGCAATTGTTTCTTCAGAGCCTTTAGTTATGCTTATCTTGAAAAATTAATTGGAGATAAAAATGAGTATAACAAGTTTAGAGAACTTGCTGTTAAAAGTAAAGAGAATCTTGTAGCACTAGGTTTTCCTCAATTTACTGTCGAAGATTTCCATGACACGGTATTAACTAATATTTAACATTATTCAATGAATTGTAATTGAAATAATTGTGTAATTAGAAAATAATAATAATAATAATATTGTTTATTTTGTTTATAGTTTATGGAAGTGATCGACAAAGTAGGTGGAGACACAGAGTCTAGTTACTTAGAACTACATAAGCTTTTCAATGAACAAGGTTATTCTGATTATGTTGTTGTATACCTTAGATTAATTACTTCTGGTCAGTTACAAAGAGAAGGTGATTTTTATCAACATTTTATAGAAGGAGAACGAACAATAACAGAATTTTGTCATCAGGTTAACATTAATTCATTTATTATCATGAATTTGATTAATTTAGGCAGAATATTTAATACAATGTTGTTGATATTACTGAATTTTTCTATGTTTACAGGAAGTAGAACCAATGTATAAAGAATCTGATCATATTCATATTATAGCAATGAGTACTGCTTTAGGTACAGGTGTTCGAGTTCGTTACATGGATCGTGGTGCTGGAACTGAAGTAACAGCCCATGACTTTCCAGAAGGCTCTACACCAGCTGTTCATTTACTTTATCGTCCTGGTCATTACGATATACTTTATCCTTGATAAATGAAATCTAAAGCCATTATTCATTTCTTTCTTTTTTTTTTTTTTTTTTTTTAAGTTCGTTATTAAGAAATATACTTTTATTTAAATGATTTTTTTTCCCCAATATACATTTAAAACGATCAAAATATGAAAAACTATTTTTTACTGTGAACTCTAATTTTACGATTTAGTTTATTGAAATTTTAAAACAAACAAAAATTAATTATTATGTCATTCAAACGTGAAATTATTAAATGTGTCAATATATAAATTATTTTAAATAAATAATATAAATATATACTATAGCATTAAAATACGAAGGAAATAAATTATTACAGAAAGAGAGAGAACATTTCAAATAAAATCTATAAAAATTGTGAAACATCTTTAACGTTGCATTGCTCGAACTTGTTCAGTAACTTCCTCTAATAAAACAGAACTTCTATCAACTGATTCCATTTGATATTCTAATTGGGTTACAATAAGTGCAAGCTTTTTTAAATTTGTTTCTGCTACCTCCAATCCATGCTCTTGTTGTGCAAAACTTTTAGCAGCGTGCATTAAAATCTGAAACAACAAAAAGAAAATAAACAATTGTATTAAATATTATTTATCAATTGTGAAGATTTACTTTATTTTTTATTTTTTTTTTTTTTTTTGAAAAACAAGATATGAATGATAACATTACTTCACTGCTTTTGGAACCTCTTTGAATTTGTCTTGCAAGTGATGCAATATTATTAACATTAACTTGAACTCTATCTGCTAATCGCATTTTAGAATCAACAAATAAACTGCGTGCACTTGTACTAGATGCTGAAGCCATTCCGTATCGTTTTTCATTAATTCTTGGATAAATTTTGATATTAATAATATATTCAATCGTATCAATGAAATGAAACAATTTTCTTATGGCAAACGATTATTTCATGATTTTTCAATGATTATCAGACAAATTTAAACATATAATTATTTTTAATCAAATTTTGATCTTTTAATTAATATAATTGATTTTGTATGTATATATGTGATGCATAAATCTATGTATATACTATTATTATAAATTATTATTGTTTATTATATATTTATGATTTAACAAGAATTGCACATAATTTATTAGAATACTTATTAAAAGTATTCACAAATGTAATATTGTTTTATATTTTCTTTAAAATTCGATTTATTGAAACAATTGATTAAATTGTTAAATTAACTAAAGACACAGTTTTTTTTTCGTGTGTGCAAAATTATAGGTTAAGTGTATTATATGAAGCACTTTGTATTGCACTGATGTATAACCTTAAATTGTAAACATACACCTTAGACATACACGAATGAACGTTAGGTTAGGAAGAAGCAGCATTTGAAAGAATTTGTTTATCTCTAACCATATTGCTATAAAAAAGTTATATTAATTTATAAAGTTATTAAATTATATTAAATTAATTGATATAATTATATTATAGATATATAAACAATTATTATTTTCTGGTAAGTTGTCTATAAAATTATTATTTTTAAATTTATTTTTTATCGTATCAATCATTTATATTTTATATTAGGTTATATTTATAAAGTTGATGTTTAAATAAGATAATAGAACACATATTATTTTTATTGAAAAATATTAATTTTTATTCAGGTAATGCAACATTTATAATTATGGTATTTTACAGATAGAAATTCTGTAATAATTTGAAAATGAGAAGTAAAGAAATTGATACAAATACAAAAATAGATACAAATAATGAAATTGATACAAATAATAAAGAAATTGTTGTTGTAAAGAAAGAAAAAGGAGAAAAATCTAAGAAAAGAAAAAGTAGCATATCTTGCAATAATAATGGTATGACAAAAAGAAATCTTGATAATGAATTGAATGACGTTACATACCTAGCAAACAAAAAAAGAAAAGAGGAAGCAGTTTCTAATAATGAATTAACTGTAATATATTTTATTTTTATCAAAAGTTTATTTCACATGTATATAATTATAAATTTGTTTTTTCTTTTTGTTTAATTAATTTTCTTATTAATTTAGAAATTAAAAAAATTGAACGTAAGATTAATACATGAAGTACCACGACAACATACAATTGAAGTACGTTCAGGAACACATGCACCTACTCGCAAAGAATTAGAAATATTTAAGAGTATAATAGGATTAAAAAAAGGTTGTTTTGATCCACATGAGGATAAGAAAATTGTTCATAATTGGAAAAAATTTTGTAAGGTAAGAGAAACGGATGTATGTATGTATGTGAATGTTGATTAGAATATACACGTTGTCGTTAATAATAAAATCAAATGAATTAATTAATTTATATAATTTTTTTTCTAATATTATATTATATTTAGTTACATGATTGGAATGTAGAGAATACTAAAGCATTTTTAACTCTGAAAGATAATGGCAAGTATATATGTAGAAAGGCAGAATTGAAAAAGTTTGTACAATTTTTAGCAAATGGTTTACCAAATCGTACATTGTACAGTGTTTATCATAGGTTCAGAACTTTATACAGTTCACACGAAAATAGAAGGTAATATATACATATATATGTTTTTTCTTACTGATGTCATCTCAACATATATTCAATATTTATCATTGTAAAATAAATAATATAGTAAACATGTTCTTTTTGTTTAAATAGATATACAAAAGAGGAAAATGAAATGATATTAACTTATATGGATCAAAAACAATACGTTGATGAAAGAAGAAAATTCGTTGATTTGGCAAAGGTATTAAATAGAAGCAGGGCATCAGTTTGGCGTCATTATCGAATTTTACAAAAAAAACGTAAAAATGAGAGCGATTCAGATTGATAAAATGAAAAATGACTTAACAATGTTTCTATCTTCAATTTTGTAAAATAATAATAATAATAATACAAAAACAGTAATTCACAGTACTGTTTGTAAGAAAAAGAATTGTATCTGTATTTTATTTTGATAGTATCAAATATTATATACATTGTGTATATACTTTAGAACTTAACCATCACAATTACGTGTATCTGGTTTTTTTTTTTTTTTTTTTGTAAACAGATAGATTAATTTCATTTAAATTTTTAATCATTTGTAAATTATGCAATTTTAATTGAATGTTTTATATTTGAATAAATCATTAATGAGAACTACACAATTATAATAGAAGAAGAAGAAGAAGAAGATAAAAGAAAAAAATTAAATATTTTGTTATTGTTCATCATCATCTAATATAACTTATCTCATTATCATCATTTAATATCACACAATTTTATTTACACTATTGATAAAAAAAATCTAATAATAATAATAATAATAATAATAATTAATCATAGATTTGTTAAAATTAGTAAATTAATTAAATTATTTATACATTACAAATTAATTACAAATGAATGTTGTTGAAATTACGAGTGTTATGTAGATTTTATACGCAATTATGAAAAAAAAAAAAAAAACATAAGCATGCATTATATAAAATGTATTTTTTTTTTGTTTTTTTTTTTTTTTNTTTTTTTTTTTTTTTCATAGAAAATGCAAAGCACAGTTTTTTTGTTTTTTTTTTCTTTTTTTCCTTTCTTACAATTTTCAATATTAATTTTTTGTCACGATTTTTATTTATTTATTTGTACAAAGTAATATTCCAAAGTTCTAATTTATTATACGTAATATTTAATCAGGATTATGATTTTTTTTTCTTGTATATTATTATATCATAAAACATTTTATGATTTATTTTTTTGTTGTTGTTGGCTTTTTGTTATCGTTTTAAAAATATTTTAATGTTTTTTTTTTGTATACACATCTGTTTAATTTATTTATTTGAAATACTGAAACAACATGAAAGCAGCTAAAAAAGAAAAGAAAAAATGAAAGGAAATCTTTCTATTTAAGTTATTAAGTTATGACAAAATAATTATTGTTACAATGCTTGAAATATTTACAATTTTGAAGATATCTAAAGTTTAGATGAATAATAATCAGTCTCTTCCCCTAAATATGCATTATTTGCAAGAATGAATAAAAAAATGTTATTAATTCGTATTAAAAATTAATTGAATATATATTTCTCGTTATGCTGTTTTTCTTGTAATAGATCAAATTGTGTATAATATGAAAAATCATTTAACATATTGTGAATAATGTACTTTCTATAACAGAAAATGATTAGACAATTATTTTTGATTTTAAGATAAAAAAAAAATAAAAAAAAATATTTGAAATTAATCCATAAATTATATTAGTCAAATATGTTTGATATAAGATATTTATATTTAATATATCAAATATAAGTATCTTATTACATTTATATAATAATAATAATAATAAAAAAAAAGAGATGCCTAAATATTTACATTCAAAAATATTCTCGATAAAATACATCAACGATGCAACATAAAAAGCCACAAATTGACTTTTACATAAATATTTAATGTAAAGTAAAATAGGAGTGTTTCGTATAACTGTTATTTGATTTTTCAATACAACTGGCCTATCACAGTAAGCGATCTCACTGTAGATTGTACGTTATTTACATGAATATGATGAGCAACAGCATGATGATGTTCATCAGTAACCATTTCACCATATTGGACACGACAACGTTTCTGATGTGCGAATAAACTACCACTGTGACTATATGCAGCTCCGCAAGTTTTACAAACATAAGGTTTTTCACCAGAATGTGTATAAGTGTGTTCTTTCAGTGTACTAAGTCGTTTGAAAGCTTTGCCACACGTTTTACAGAGATAATTAGCTTCACCTGTATGTCGTGTCAAATGTCTCCTAAATGCTGAACTAACAGCAAATGCTGCACTACAAACATGACATACATAAGGTTTATCTCCCGTATGAATACGAATATGATTTGCCAAACTGGTAGTTGTTGTAAATCCACTGTTACATGTTTTACAAACATGTGGTTTCACTCCTGAATGAGTTCTCATATGGTATGTTAGTGACGAATTACTCGGATATACCTTGCTACAAATATGACATAAATATTCTCGTGGCACTTTTTCCTTAGGTTTATGTGTCCTTTGATGAAGAACAAGACGAGCTTGACTAGCACAAACTTTTTTACAAATTTCACAAGTTACTGGTTCGGCTTTAGGCTTGTGCATGGACACGTGACGCCTAAGACCTTTCTTAGTAGCCATAATTTTGTCGCAATGTTGACACTTGTATTCACCAGAACCATCTTCTTCGCTATCTTCTTTCTTAATAGTTTCATTATCTGGTAAAGTATTAGTTGTCGTCGTATCATTTGGAAAAGCATCGTCGTCCGAATCAAATAATTTGTTATCCTCTGCTAAATTATCCAATAATCCATGTCCATGCTTTTCGGCGTGTTTTTTTAACGTGTCTGGTCTGAAGAACCATTTTTTACATACTGTGCATGAATATTTTTTATCGCCATGTATGAGAGCGTGTCTTTTTAAATTTTTCAATGAAGAACAGTACTGATCGCAAATTTCACATTTATATAATTCAGGAGCATTTTCAAATTCGTCTGGTTCGTTTACGTTAACGCAACTTTCATCTTCAGTATCATCCTCACATTTTGGTTCTTTTTTCGTATTTTCATCGTCTTTACGTTCATCCGTATTTATCTGTTTAATCATATCATTTACCTTTTCCGTATGTGACTTTAAATGGCGTATTAAACTTTGAGATTTGGAAAAACACGCATGACACAATTGACAAGCGTGTGGTTTAGACGCGTGTATCTTTTTATGCTTTTCCATATTTTCCTGTTTATAAAATAATTTCAAACAGATATTACATTTGTGCTTTTTTTCATGAACAAGAGAATGCTTTTTCAAACCTTTCTGCGTGGCGTAACGTTTCAAACAAATTTTACATTTGAATTTTAATTCTTCCGAATCTTGACTATCGCTACTAGGATCATAATAATTATCATCACCTTCATCTTCGCTGTAAGTTTTGTTTGCCATTGATTTTGTCTTCCTACTTGACGTACGTTTCTGTGGAGGTGCTTCCTTTTCCGTTCCTGTATCATCAGACATACGTTCAGTTGAAAATTGTTGTTCATCCATCTCATCATCTTCATCATCTTCGTCATCTTCCTCTTCTGCTTTTGAATTTGAATGTTTGTCTGATTCTTTAGTATTAATACCATGTTCCTCCATTTGTGGTTTATCATCAACGTCCATCATTCTATAGATATCACATGTATCTATTTGAGAAGCAGATTCAATAGCTGAACCTTGATTGATATTATTTTCTATTGAACATTCTTCTTTACCAATGACTTTATTAGTAGAACCTTCAAAACCGATAGAACTCATGAAAATTTTATCATCTTGCATATCAATGTCAGTAGTTGCAAGATTGGGTGTATTTGTAGTAAAAGTATTATTAGTATTATTAAAATCTTGTGAATTAGATACTATTTGCATTTCTTGTTTAACGAAAGAATTGTCTTGCGTATTTGTTATTTGTTTTGGTAATTCAATGCATGGAGAGAGATCTGTTTGTGTACAAGAATCCTGTAAAAATTAGAAATACTTTTGATTAATAATGAATCATAAATATTACATGAAAATAACGTTGTTGTAATATTTACCATAACATTGCATTTTCCAGGATTATTATAATACAATCGTAGTCTGGTATTGGAATGTTGACATAGTTGTCTAAAGTCATGAGCAATGTTTGCTTTATAAATGCAATTTTCACAGATCAAAGATGGTAATCCATCTTGCTCATGAATATCTATTGAACCACATACTTGAATTTTTTGTGCAAGTCCTAGATAATTATCGTCCTCTTGATTAGGACAAAAAATAGATATTAAATTGTTACTTTCGGTTAAACATATTCTACACATTCTCTCCATATTAGGAGATAAATTGAAACAATTATTTGAATTCATCGTATTGCAGATGATCTTCAATCTTCAATAATCCAAAATTGTCTGTAAATATAACATAAAATATAATGATACTTTATTCTAACAATAACAAAAGTACAAATATATTTTTTTTTTGTATATGAACAAAGCTTTTAAACAATGTGTACACATGCTAAATACAATTAAGTTGAAATCAAATGATATTATTTAAAATTGCAAATAAATTAAACAAATCAATAAGATCAGTATATTACAATTCTTTTTTGTTTAATATACATGTAGTATGTACAATTAGTAACATTTGTCATAAATAAAATAATGAAATAATGAAAATCCAATTGAAAGATTAAATGAACGAATCTAAAAGGTTAAATAATATTAGTCAATATTTGAAAGTTAAAAAAAAAAAAAAAAGGACGTTTTTTGAAATATAGTTGAAAGAACAAATGTGTAAAAAAAGGAAGGTTCTCAACCTTTGGATCTTTAGTGCGTCGTTTGAACATGCCACGGTGTTGAGTCCAATGCCTTTGGCAGTGATGCCCAGACGAAAGTAAAAGTAACACCTTGAAAACTTCTAACTATACTTTGTTCTTTGATTATATGACGTATTTTTTTTTCTTTTTTTTCATTCGCGAATCAATTAAATATCTAATGTATGCAAGTATGAGTTGATTTTCAAGGTGTATCATCGAAACACGAGATGCCTTCTTTCTCCATTGTAAAAAAAAAAAAAGAAATCTTTCTTATTTTTCTTACGTTTAACTTGTGTTAATACTAAAAACTCCGACAGTTATTATTTTTTACTCTTTTGTCTAATGGCTCCCTTATTCTACATATATGCCGCGAAACATTCGACCAATTGAGTTGAGAACAATCTGAAAGTAAAGGGTTTTGCGAATAGAATTTAGCTTATCGGATATGAAATGGAATGGAATGAATGAAACTTCACAACATTTATCAATGTGTACAACTTAATCGATGTAAATTCTCTAAGAATACGCGAATAGCGTTTGAAATATGGAGGGTTAAGGTAAGGAGTAACATCTATGTATATGAAAAGTGTCCGACGAAATGCATTCAATTAGGGTGGCGCCACAATAGCTTGAGGGTAAATTTTAAAAGAAGCGCCAAATGTTATTAAAATAGGATTGAGAAATAAACAAGGAACACAAATTTCACAACACAACATTTTACCCATAACTGTTTTGTCAAAAATCAATAAACGTGTACTATTCACAGTTCACGAAATAAAATCATTCCTAGCTACACGTTTTCTCACGTTATATTTACTACATTATTACATAACTCGGCATACTTCAATTCGTTTACAATGGCTACATTCATACCAAACCTTCTGTCTACACCAGCGCCATTCTGGAAAGTTTTTGAACTATTATTTATAGAAAACGCTGGACACTTTTTCACATTTTCTCATAATTTTTTTTATCAAGTATTAAACCATAGAGATATTACAGATAGAGGAAACAAACCATAGGCGGTTGTGTAAGTGGAAATGTCTCCGTATGAATATAACAGCAAAAAACGAAAGGTTGATGTTGTCTCTCTCTAACTAATGCGGTACCGGCGCATGCGCATTTTTTATTGCTGTACTAAAATCAGAGAACTAAAATCAACTTCTCTTGCCTCTACTAGCAGACTAATGCGCATGCGCCGCTCAGCGCAAGTTAGAGAGAGACAACATCAACCTCTCCTGTTCTATCTCTTTTTATTTCGACGACAGTTTTTGGCTTGCCTGCTCTATGTGTAGTATCTCTATGTATTAAACTCATAAGAATAATAAAGTATTGTTTAAAAAGGTGCACCTCATATAAGATAACTCTTTAGACGTTTTTAAAATAACCAAATTTGTTTTAGCGATTGGTACGATTTATCTCGAATCGAGATTCGAGAGTTTAAATTACCTTCTTCAGGACTACATTTATTTTCGTGATTAAAAAATAAAGTAGTTAATGTTACATCAATAAATATTAATCTTTAAATAAGAATTTTCAAAAATTATAGATTTACTACTGTATTTTATAATTATTTGGAACTATAGAGGATTATTAAATCATTTTATATGAATAGGTAATGACCGCCATTTTCTATCGATATTGTTCAAACGAAAAAAACGTATTATAAATGACATACAAACAAAAATTATTTATTATATCATATAATTCATATAATTTTTGTACTTTTTATTTATTTATTTTCAATCATAAAAACAAAAATTCCAAATAAAAAACAAGGACGTACAACGTTAGTCAAATATTTCTTTTTCTTTAGTGACTGTCACGATAATGTAACAGTCATCGATAATGTTTGTAAATACCGCAAACATTAAATATGATATTCGATTAATTTGTCATTAGCTATTCAAGGAAATAATTAAAAAGATATTAAATGATTCATGTAAATTTACGTCAAAGAATTAAGAAGATTATAAAATATCCTTATTTTACATACATAATTGACATTATAATATTCACAATTATTTATTAATTAAAGGCTGTTTAGTTAGGGATAAAACAAAGTCTTAACAAGAAGATGAATTTTTATTAAGTACCTTTTACATTCTTCTTACAATTAAGTTATTATGTTTAATATTTTCTTATGTATTAGTTTAACATTTGAAATGAAATTCAAACTTTCATCTTACATAAACCAAAAGTGGTTCTACGACTACCTGGAGGACAACCTCGGTCAGGAACTGATATTATAATAAAAGGTGCAATATCTGTTGGTATACATTCCAATTTAAAAGTAGTTGCATTGACACCTAAGACAGCAGGTGCACAAGGACCACCAATTGTTCTCAAAGGATAACATATATTATTGTATTTAACTAAACCATCTTCCAAACATGGATTTTTAACGCATTGTGGAACTGCTTCTCCTTCAGGAAGAACAGCATAATGTTGTGGAGGACATGGTCCTTGTCTATAAGCTTCATAACATGAATCATTTAAAGGAAAGTACAAAAATCTTGGTCTACAATCGCACACCCAACTAAGCTTGTCTCCATCGCTAGGATAAAGGAGCATGTTTTCAGGACAATGACCTGGTGCTGACACAGGAATACGATCTGTTATCTGAACACAAAAAGTAATACATCATTTTTTATCTAATAATATAACGAATTTTGTATAAAACACATTTTACATACCATTGGTTTATTTCCACTAACATGAGTTATTTCCTCGTCATTTGGAAATACAATATCTTGACACAAAATAATGCAGGTATATATTAAAAATACACTGCTAAATAGTAACCACTTCATCTTGAATAAAACTTGATTAATCGAGCAAAGATGTTTGATGCAACTGTTCCTTTGTAACTGTAAATTCTAATGACCTTCGACAAGTGCAGACTATTTCATTGACCCGGATATACGAACATAAATTCATAAAGTAAGAAATAAACTAGCATTGCTTTTTTATCCCCAATAAATGTTTATCATTTGAGTATTAATAGTCAGAATGATTGCTCAATACAATCCATTAATTTTAAGGTCATTAAAAACAAATTTTCTTTCTCCTATCTTCTTCTCTTTTTTTTTAATGTTTTTTTTATACCAAATAATTATCAATTTTTATTCATGTTAAGGAAATAATAAACACAAAGTACAATATATGTATATATTGAAATGATGTAATTGTAAGTTGATTTTTGTTTAATTATAATTATAATTGCTAATTATAACATTTTTATTTTGTGAATATCTATTATTGTAAACTCAAATGAAATATTAGGAATACAATAAGATTTAAATTTTCGCGCTAACTTATAGTACGTAGATCATGTTAGATTTTGATTTCATCAAAATTTAATATCCCTAGATTATGTATGCAGATCAAATTTATATTTATATTATAGTAAGATATTATATTATTAATAATATAATATATTATATTATTATTATTTATTTTATGATTTATGAAACGTTAATATCGACATATATTTATAAGATAATAAAAATGAAATATATTACATTCAATTTTCGCGGCTTTCTTAGAAGCTAGACATACTTCCGGAATAAGGTTGGTACGACTGTGAAAATCGTATAGTTTGCCGTAAAAGTCATTTACAAGTCTTTTAGATCGAACCAAGATGTCGAAGAGAGGTAGGTTTCTTTATTAGAAAAATAAAAATCCAGTGAAATCAATTATAAAATTATACATCTATTTAAAAAATAATGAAAAATGAGTGTTAATTGCATGAATATATTAAGTGATGTAAAAAGTTATTGCGTGAATTTGATTTTAGTGGATGAAATTAAGTCTCACATGGAAGTGTCGTGTAATTGTTTATCAATGACTAAATTTAACATAAAATTTTTCTTCTTCAAGGTCGTGGTGGTTCTGCGGGAGCGAAATTTAGGATATCACTGGGTTTGCCAGTTGGTGCTGTCATCAACTGTGCCGACAATACCGGTATGTTATAAATAATTCATTTATAAGTTACAAATCATAACCTCTTAATTTAGTTGTATGCATCTATTGTTTGCAACACATGGTGAAACCTAGCTATTATTATTATTAAGTATATCCAATACACAACGTTCTAAATGTTGCATAAGCTAAATTTGTTATTTAAACAAAAATATTAGCAATTTTGTTGTTTGTATAAATATTTCATGTTTTAATTGTTAATTTGATTGTAGGTGCTAAAAATCTATACGTCATAGCAGTTCAAGGTATCAAGGGTAGATTGAATCGTTTACCAGCAGCAGGATCAGGTGACATGATTGTCGCTACTGTGAAAAAAGGCAAACCTGAACTCAGGAAGAAGGGTAAGCTTTTCAATGAATACATTTTAATAAGTGTTTCTAACCTTTACGTATAGTTTTATATTTAAGAAATCATTTCTAATTGTATAAGGAATGTTTGTATAGTTAAAAGTTTTTACAACTATTTTGAATGCAATTACAGTTATGCCTGCAGTAGTGATACGGCAACGGAAACCTTTTAGAAGGAAGGACGGGGTATTTATATACTTCGAAGATAATGCCGGAGTTATTGTTAATAATAAAGGCGAAATGAAAGGATCAGCTATTACGGGACCTGTTGCTAAAGAATGTGCAGATTTATGGCCAAGAATTGCTTCCAATGCTAGCAGTATCGCATAAAACATCCTGTATAAATCTTTCATAAAATAAATTTGGACAAGTGTCTTAAGAATCATATTTACTTAATATGTCATATTCGCGCCATTTTATTTTTATTCAATATAATTAGATAAAACAATACATAAATATAAACAAATATTTTTCAAATGTAAACATATAAATAATAGAAGTTTTATATTAATCTTTAGAAATAATGAAAATAGTAGTTGAAAAATTTACAAATAAGGATCTAACAGAAGATCATCGGTCATTGGTCAATACTATAAATTGTATATTCGAATAAAGCGATTCTATTGGTTCGTGCAAAATAGCAATCGTCCAGCACGATAACCTTATTTATCTTTCCAATCAAAGATTTCTTTATTATATATAAAATATAACTGCGAATAGAAGAGATAGGAATAAATAAATAAATATCTTCATAGTTTTATTATCTTAAAATAAATAATATGTAAAAAACATTGTATCGTGTGCGCAAGGAGTAACCTTTTTAACGTGTACGCATTTTTTACTTACTCGCGCACACATACAATCAAATGTATCTCCATCCTAACGTAAAATCGAAAAGACTTCAAGTACATAAATCTAATAGATAAAATTCGTAGATTTATTTTCCATGAAATACGAAACGTAGAAAAAGATCAAAGAAATAGAAAGTAGAAGCCAAAAAAAAAAAAGAAAGAAGAAATGTATTGTATGATGGGCTGTTAATAGTGGTGTAGTTGGTGGTTGTTAGTAGATAGTGGTGGGGTGTTGGTGGTGGTGGTGGTGGTGGTGGTGGTGTTTGCCTTAACCGACTGGTTATCCTATATATAAAACTAGTACGCCTTTGGACTCCGTTAGCTTTGCGCGTGTTACGGAAAGGGTGCGTGTCGATCACGATTAACATATGCTATATCGTAGCGGGAATTTTGTCTCCAGCCTAAGAAGGATAGTTGAGGTAAACTTAAACGATAAATTAATCAAACGATAAAGACAAGTAACAGACATATTTTCTTTTCAATTAATACCTTAAGCAAAGTGATTATATTTGTGCGCGCGACTCCAGTTTAATGAAGATACTAGTAGTAGTATTAGTAGTAGTTGTAGTAACAGTAGTAGTGTACTAAAAGTAATAATAGTATTAGTGTAGTGTAGTGTAGTAATAGTAGAGAATTAAAGTAAGTGATAATAATCCCACGCTTGGCCAAAGCTCTCATATATTTTTCATGTCTATTTTAAAATCAACAACCACAGCTGTTGTTGTTAGACACAGTCCTTTATTATTTTAACCTAAATTCAATAATTTGTTTTAACGGTTATGTCCGTGTGATGTTGCTTTGTTGGTGGTTTGTTGCAGATGTCGATGCCGGTACCGGTATTTTATCGAGCTTTATTCGAACAACAAGGATAAAAAGAGATGGCAATAGTGCGCTCGCGCGACTCTTCTCCTCTCTTTTCACTTAATCTTTCCATGCGCCTTTTTTGACAGCTAAAAATACTATTTTTGATGAACCAACCAACCAACCAACCAACCATCCGACCGACCGACCGAACCGAACTTTCCTTCGAACTCAGCGACTATTTCGGTGCGACGATGAAAACGCCTTTTGTCAACCTACGCATTTTTTTTTTTTCTTCTTTTCCTTCTATTTCTCTTATCTTTATCATTGTTATCCTTTACTTTCATTGCATTTTTATGATCCAATTGTATTATACAGTCTTTTATTCCCATGTCCATACATTAATGGTATTTTCTAATGAATTATATTTACTTTAATTATCACGTCATTCTTGGAACAATCATACCGGTTTTAAAAAATTCAATTTACATTGTTTATAATCTCCCTCAATTTTTCATTACTTTTATATATATATATATATATATATATATATATATATTTGTTTTTATTTATTTATTTTGTAAATAGAATAGGTAATAATTTATTGTTCATTTTTTTAAATGATAATTTTTATTCATTCTTTTTATCATTTGATGCATTTCATTTATTGTTTCTTTCTTTCTTTCTTTCTCGCTTTCTTCATCTTTTTTTTTTTTGTTGATAATAAAAACATAAAAATGTTATCAATTTTTTTTATTGAGAGAAAAACAAAATGTGAAGAATAAACAAAAGAAAATATCTCGTTTATTTCTTATATTACATTTTGATGAAACAAATGATTTTGATTGAAACATGAATTATATTGTGTCATTTGTTTTAATAATGGCTTCCATTAGAATTTTATTTTCTATACATTTTTGGGTTGACTATATATAATTGATCTCTCTCTCTCTCTCTCTTATGTTTGTTACATAATTTGGCGTCTCTGTAATAAACGAATTTTTGTATTTAATCAAATTATTTGTTATTACAAAGATTTGTTTTTTTTTTTCCGAGCATTTATCATTGTTTGATTTTGTATTATTACATTTATATAAATAAACATTTTATTTTCATAGATTTTTATTATGAAATTAATCGTTATTTAAATTTAGATTTAACCAGCATCATCATCATCATCATCATCATCTTTATTTGTTTCTTCATTGTTTTTACCTTGACCGTAAAAATATATTTGTTTATGTTATTTACTCGATTATCAATTTACAGATTTACTTGAATCCAATATTTAAAAAGAGTGTAACAAACAAGGAGAGAATTTAAATAAAAGTATTTTTTTTTTTTTTTTATTACAATGTACTAAATAATTGCATATCTTTGTGCAGTTATTTACTTTACTGTATATATATATATATCTTATTGATCTAGATAAATGTTTCATGTTATTTTCTTTGAATACAATCTTCTCATTCTCAATGCTTGCACATTAATCGTTAACATTAGATTTACGAATGTTTTGTTTCATATTTTTGTAATGACTTACAAACATTGTTTCAATGAAGGATTGAATAATAAAGGTATAGTAATTAATATTTAAATATATTTTATTACGTAACTAAAAAAAAAAAAACAAAAAATGTGAAATGAGTCAAATTGGTTCAGTTCGTAAATCTAGTGTTAAATCTGGTTGGTTTTTTGTTGTGTTGTCTTCTTTATTGCAATACAATTATATTATTATTATATAAATATATATATATATATATATTTTTTGTTTACAGAATATCTTTGAAGATACTTCAACATGTCTCATCACTTTGTTACTGTATGCGTAGTATGTGTTTTATGTGCTGCACATATTCCATGCTCTGCACATACAGTTTTTCAAATAACAGATGCAACAACAACAACAACAACAACAACATTATCATCCCATGACATTATTAATTATGATAATATAACTACTAATTCAACAAGTCAATCGTCAATATCTGAATCAAGATCTAAACAATTGTTACAACTTAAGGATTATTTTAAGATAAGACATAATAATACGTCAGATAGAAAGAAGGACAACGTTAAAAGGTCCATTAATACTCAAGAAATGAATGGAATGAATAAAACTATGTCGATAATTGATAATAAATCTTATTCCGAAAAGAAAGTTTTGATTAAGAGGAAGATTGTTAAAAGTAATAATAATAATAATAATGAAGAAGAAGAAGAAGAAGAAATGCATAAGAGTGATGATGATGATGATGTTGTTGTCAATGTATTATCGAACAATCATTTGGAAATTATGGAAAGACTTGGTCAAATTCAACCAATTCGTCAAAAACATGGATCATCATCCTCCATGTATTTGAATAATGATGATCATAGCAAAGATTCATCATCTAGGATACGAAAAAAAAGGAATACAGATGTGATTGGGAAGAATCACATGAAGAAAATCTTTGAGGCCTATGGTGATGGTCATGATATTAAAATGGAGGGTTTTGAAATGATGTTAAAAAAATTAGGTTTATTAACACTTTTGATTGATTCTACAAAATTAGATGATGATCATAATGTGGACATCAATCAGTCGGATAATCAATTGGGTGAATATTGTTCAATAATATTTAGTTAGAATAATTGTTAAAAGAATTACAAGTAAGGATAGCTTTTTCTTTTTTTTTTTTTTTTTTTTTTTTGAGACAATTAGTCAGTCAGTTGATTTCAATAAATTGAAATTGAATATTCATTTTAATTAATGGTTTACTATGAGCAATAAAAAACCTGTCCATCATAATAATATCATAGTTTGAATGTCCACCTAAATATATATATAACTGTAATTTGGTGTATATACTTCATATATATATGTATATATATACGTGATCTATCTATTGATGATAACAATGATCTTGATTAAGCTTACAAATGCTTATTTCATGATGACTTGGTTTAATAATTTGAATATATGTCCAATTGACCTAATAAGTCACTTATTGATTTCATTGACCTGTCTGTTAGATCTTTGCCGAAATATATTCACTGTATAAGATGTAAATTCAACTACATAAGAGTAAAACTATTATAAATTAGACAAGTTGTTAATAATTAGAATACTTTTTTTTTCAAATATTACAAAAAACGATTAGAATTATTTAAATGAAGAATAATATTTGTTACTTGATATATGATTCGTAAACAAAATTTAATACATTTTCTTTCTTTTTTTTTGTCTAATGTCAGCAAAAAAAATTCTACTCATATTATATTTTATCATACGTTTGTGTAATTTTATATCAGACATTTTTTTCTCAATTTACCAAGTCATCCGTTTTTTTTTTTTTTTTTTTTTTTTTTTTGAAATTGATTACAGATAGTAAAGCTTTACGACATAATAATGGCCTACAAGATAAAAGTGGAATTAATAAAGAACGGGTAAATATATATATATNTTCTTTCTTTTTTTTTGTCTAATGTCAGCAAAAAAAATTCTACTCATATTATATTTTATCATACGTTTGTGTAATTTTATATCAGACATTTGATTAACAATAAGTTCATAAAACAACATTTTGTTTTTTAATATTATTTTATTTGAAATTGATTACAGATAGTAAAGCTTTACGACATAATAATGGCCTACAAGATAAAAGTGGAATTAATAAAGAACGGGTAAATATATATATATATTATAATATATTAATTATTTTATTATGGAATATTATTATTATGATATATTGTATTAAGACAATGTATGATTTAATGATTTCAGTGCTTAAACAGTAAAGAATTGCTAAATATGGTTGCACAAGGTATCCCATATAATTCAAAAAACAATGACACGACAATACCAAGCTGGCTTTTTGAACGTGTTTGTCCAGTTCTCCTTTATCAGTTGTTAGGAGAATCAAGTTCAGAAAGAACTGGATGTATTCGAGTACCACAAAGTTATAAAACTGTTATGGATGATACTGATTATCATTCAGAAGATTTAAATCGTAACATGTTTCAAGGTAGGGTATATATGATGATGATGTTGTTTATTATTATATTAATCATTTTTTATTAATTAATAAAGAATATGTTTATTTTTTTTTGTTTTTTGATTGTTTTCAGTGTGGTTGTACTCAACAATTAGCATTTTAGTTATAAGTCTTTGTGGTTTGCTTGGTGTAGCAGTAATACCAGTAATGGGAAAAGTTTACTATCATCAATTATTACAATTCTTAGTTGCCCTAGCTGTAGGAACATTGTGTGGTGATGCACTTATACATTTATTACCACACGTAAGTTTTCATTGTTATTTTTTACAATGTAAAAATGAAAAAAAATAATGATTGAAATTATTTAACAGGCAATGATGTCACCAATGTCACATAATCATGAGCATGGTCATGATAATGAAAATAATCTTGTATTAAATCACGAAGAACAACATAATTTAAATATGTGGAAAGGTTTTACAGCTATGATTGGTCTAGTGTTGTTCTTTTTCACTGAAAAAGCTTTAACAGTTTTAGCAGAATGGAGAAAACATCGTCAACGTCGTAACAAAGTAAATATAGAATAATACAACAAAGTTTTTTTTTTTTTTTTTCTTTAAATGATTATTACATTTAATTGAATGTTTATTTTTAGTTACCATCACGTGTGAGAGTCAAGAGAGAATCCGATGGTCCTAACAGTAATGCTGTTGGAGAAAAACTTTGTAAACATAAATATTCCTCGTATCCATATTGTTATGGAGAAATTACAGCAGAAACACAAGGTACGTTTACTTGTTGATAATTTAAATTAAAAAAAAAAAAAAAATCGACAAAACAAGGAAGATAAACCACCAGCCANTGGAGAAATTACAGCAGAAACACAAGGTACGTTTTTTTTTTTTTTTTTTTACAGATAATCATCATAATCGACAAAACAAGGAAGATAAACCACCAGCCATTGAAGAGGAAAAACCATTAACAGAAAATTGTAATTCTGTATCAAAAATGATGACAACTGATGCAGAGAAAAAAACAACTGACGATTGGAGATTGGATGATTCCATTGTAAATAATGCAAAAAAGAATGCTGCTGATGGTGCTGATATACCATTAAACGAATCTGAAAGTTATACAGTTATTATACGCGAGCATGAGACCAAACATCATGGTCATACACACTCGCATGGTAAAATATATTTCATTGAAATGAATGAATTTTAATATCATCGTGTAATAATTATATTTATTTCAATGTACATTTCTTAATTATATAATAGATCGATATATGTATTATTTAAGGTCATGTACACTCTGCACCAGAATCAATGTCAAGTGTAGCTTGGATGGTTGTAATGGGTGATGGCCTACATAATTTTACAGATGGCATGGCCATTGGTGCAGCTTTTGCAGCTAATATTGCTGGTGGATTTTCTACAGCTATTGCTGTTTTTTGTCATGAATTACCTCACGAGTTAGGTAAATTGGATAGAGATCAAACTAAATTAACAATAGGATTGATTATCAAGAAAAATATTAAACAAAATAATATGATTTTTGTGTAAACAGGTGATTTTGCAGTATTGTTAAAGGCAGGTATGAGTGCTAAACAAGCAGTCTTTTATAATCTTTTGTCATCGGTGCTGTGCTTATTTGGTATGATACTTGGTGTTTTATTGGGCAGTACACCTGCAGCAACCAGTTGGATATTTTCTATAGCTGCTGGTATGTTTATATATATAGCTTTGGTTGATATGGTAAGTATTTCAACGATATTACAATATTATTATCTTAATAAACAATTTGTATCTGTCAACTATACAAAATATTAATATTTCTTATTTATAGATTCCGGAATTGTCTTCAAGTCATTCAGCAGAACGTAGTTCACACTGGCAATGCTTGTTACAAGCATTAGGATTATCATTGGGTCTTGGTATCATGCTAGTTATTGCACTTTACGAACACAACCTTAAAAATATATTTAATAATTAAATCATATATATTGGAAGTATTTTTGAAAAAAAACTGGTAAGTTTCCCCCTCCCATAATTTCCATAGAGATATATTACAGGTAGAGGAGACAAATCTTTGCATGAATATAGCAGCAGAAAACGAAAGGTTGATGTTGTCTCTCTCTCTCTCTCTCTCTCTCTCTCTTTAATTCCTGCGGTATCGGCGCATGCGCATTACACTTGTCGATGCTTATCGTACACGTATGTATACGATACCAGCTACCTTAACCTCTACTAGCAGACTAATGCGCATGCGCCGGTATCGTATGAGTTAAAGAGAGAGAGAGAGAGAGAGAGACAACATCAACCTCCTATATTCTATCTATCTCTTTTTATTTCGTTGACAGGTTGTACGCTGGCTTGTCTCTGTTCTATGTGTAGTATATCTCTATGAATATTTTTTCTTATGTTTAATAAACAATTATATATATTTTTGTTGTTCATTTTTATAGCACATTTACCAATGAAGTTCGTTATTTATAATAATCAAGCAAGAAGGAGTCTGTTATATCGATAACTATTAAAGTATAGATAAAATAATACAGAAGATATGAAAATATCAAGATAGATAATGCAGCAACACTTAACAATAAGGGAGAGAAAGAAAGAGATAGAGAGTGAATGAATGAATGAATGAATGAATGAATATAATTAGATAAAAACTGAATTAATTTAAACACATAATGACAATATATTTGAAGTATACTTACAGAATTGAATTACTCAAAGTATACTTCTGGATTATTGAAAATGCTGTCTTTTTGGTTTTTTTTTTTTTTTTGCGAAGAATGTACGATGAAAGCTTGTTTTTTTCAGTGATTAGATAAAAAGAAAAAACTTTATAATGATTACTTATTTTTTTTTTATTATTATTATTATTATTATTTGTTATTTTAATAGTAAATAAAGTAATTGTATATAATTGCTGCTATATATATATATATATATAAATGATACGATAAACACATTCACTTATACGTTGAAAAGTAATCGTGTTTAAATTAATATTAAGTATATAATAATATTAAATAATGAAAGGGTTGCCTTAGTATTCATACTTGCCATTGTTACATGATTAAATTACAAGCAAAAATAATTAATATTAAAATAAGAATACCATTAAACATGATATATTCGTTTCTTTTTATAATTTATCTTTACAAACTTTGTTTTTTGTTAATTACCAAAATTTCGGTTTTTTTTCTTTTTTTATTCAATGATATACTTAAACATTAATCTTTTAAATAAACATTTAATGTATCTTTTAAAAATGATTATTAGACAGCTATAGCAGCAATTACATAAATAAAAATATTTAACCTTTGCTTATCACTCTTCCTGGAGTAACAACACGCTTACCACACATGGGTCCAAAGGACCCGGATGAGAAAAATCGTTGTAAAAAAAAGAACTATTGCGTAGATTTACTTGAACATTTTTTTGTCAGACTTCTTTAATATTTACTTAACAAGACTAGATAAGTTTTATAGCTTGAAATGAAATGGAAAAATTTGTTTAAAAATTACCAAAGTTTGAACCAAATTGAGAAAAAAATGAGATTCAAGTTGCAAAAAGAAAGGTCTGAGTCCTTTGAACCAAGTGTGATAAGCAAAGGTTAATTAATTGGTGGCTTCCATTATTTTGTAAGTTATCTAATTACTTAAATTCAAATGATGATATTAGTTTAAACATTGATTTAAAAATAAGATAGATATTTAGACAACAAAATTGCTTATATAAATTTGATAAGTTTATCATTCAACTTGATGATGCTTTTCTAATTAACAAATTATTCGATATTATTATTATATAAATTTCTATTTTCTATGGACAATTATCTTTTCTACATATAAACAAATGAATTATACGAAACGAGTAAATAGAATTTGTCAATTTCTACTTGACTTGTAAAATAACTCGAAATAACACTGGAGATAATTTATCATTCGCATTTGAATGCAATTTTTGTATGCATTTTCTTTTTTTCTTTTTTCTATATAAGATTTTTCAATACTTCAAAATTTCTCATTTTTCCATATGATATTTTTAACATTGAAAATGATATTAGTAGAAAAAAAAAAAAAAAAAAAGAATGGAATTAATTTTTTGTTTTCAAATCAAATTCATCGAATTTATTAAAACAAAAAAATAATCTCACATTTATCACACATATTCTTTCGTAATCATTCGTAATCGTTTATTTATTCAATTACAAATGTAAAATCATTTTTTTTTTTTTCATTTGATTTCAGTATTTAATTAATGTTTTTTATTGTTTATTTTTTTTTATTCATTACACACACACCGCCGGTGCTCACACATATACATACCATTGTTTATTTTTACGTGTAAAACTGACTTTAACGAATAAAAAAAAAAAAACTTTAACTTTAGCTGTGAGATTGAACAACAAGAAAATGTTAGCACAAATTGATCAAATGGATTAAATAATGGATCCAAGTAAAACGAATTCAAAGATATTAATCTTAAATTGCATTTATATTTATTTATTAAGTTATTGAACAAACTAAACTCTGTTAATTGCTGTATCAGAAAAAAACAAATGTATTAATTATTGTCCAATTGTTTGTTATTTATCATCACATTAATTTCAATAATAATGATTAAAATGAAAATTCAAATATTTTGATAAATTTCACTCTGAATTTTATGAAAAAAAAAAAAAAAAAAAAACAACAACAACAACAGAATTTTATATGTAATAAACATTAATCGTATTTAAGAATATTGAAATGAATTATCATCATCATCAATCTTTATAAAAATAAGAAAAAGAAAAGAAAGAAGAAGAAGATAGTTATGATTATTTATACATCTGCAAATTATTCATTCAATTTRTAAACATTAAAAGAAAGCAACCACCTGCAATGATAGAAATAATTAAAACGTTCACAAGATAGACTTAATATATTTTACTGTATATTTATAATATTTTACTATTAAACTATGCTTCGTTTTGTTTTTTGTTTTTTTTTTGTTACTTTGATATAAAAAAAAAAGAAAAAAAAAAGAAAAAATAAAAAGAAACTTGTCTGTCCCACCAATAAAAAAAAAAAAAAAAAAGTGTATAGAAATAATTTTGTGAAAGAAAATATTTGTTCGTTATGAGAGATTAATTAATTAATTAATTAATTAATTAATTAAAAAAAAAGATGTGTTAAGATGTTAAAAAATATTTTTTTATTTCAATTTATTACGTGTGATGAGGGTCATATTAATGTGTGTGTGTGTGTGTATGTGTCGCAATATTATTTGATATAATTTACCATCCATCCCAATCCCCTAGTTATAATTCATAATTGTCATAAAGTTATAAATAAATAAATAAAAAAATATTTCAATGATACACATGTATAAAACATAGAAATTTATCTTTCACTTAACATATGTTCATTCGTTCATCATAAAACTTGATAAACATGTATACCATTGAACTGAAAATCTCACACATACATCACATGTATATCTATCTATCTATCTATCTATCTATCTATATCAACAACAACAACAACAACAACGCTGTAAGGGTTTAAGCAATGAAATAAATTTAAGCACATATTGTATGCGGTCATAATTGCTGTGATACTACCTTTTACTGTATAATATTATTATTACTATTTGTATATAAAATATGCATGTGTGTAAAAACGTGTTATGACTCTTCTCTGTATTATCATTTCACTTTTTCACTCGCTAATAGGATTTTTTTTTTTTTTTTGACTAGTATATTATTGATATCTTTGTTTTTTAAAAATACAAAACAAAAAGAAAAGAATAAAACAACAACAACAGAATTTTTTTTTTTTATTAATTTAATTCACAATAAAATATTTATATTTGTTCGAAATAATTTTCGCAATTAATTCAATGAATATTATTGATATCTTAGTTTTTTTTTTTTTTTAGAAATACAACTGAACTTTTTTTTATTGAATTAATTCACAATAAAATATTTACATTTGTTCGAAATAATTTTCGCAATTAATTCAATGAATATTATTGATATCTTAGTTTTTTTTTTTTTTTTAGAAATACAACAGAATTTTTTTTTTATTGAATTAATTCACAATAAAATATTTACATTTGTTCGAAATAATTTTCGCAATTAATTAAATGAATATTATTGATATCTTAGTTTTTTTTTTTTTTTTAGAAATACAACAGAATTTTTTTTTTATTGAATTAATTCACAATAAAATATTTATATTTGTTCGTAATAATTTGTCAATTAATTAAATAATTTAATAGTATCAATAATAAAATCAATACTTTCATTTTCATTTTTATTTTCATTTTCTTTCTAAGGCAAGCAATCGACATTAGTCGTCGTCGTCGTCGTTGTGATGATTCATCATCGTCAAAAAATTTTAATGGTTTTCTATAACGGTCAAGGTACATTAGATGGAACTATGCGATAACAAATATATACATGGTGTAGATGTATTCGTGTATGTGTTTATAGAAGAAATTTATACAGAAAAAAAGTATTGTAAGTTTCATCGATAATGTATAGTAGTAGTATACTTTTTCTAGAATTGTTTTAATCGTTTTATACAAAAAAAAAAAAAAACCAAAAAATTTAAACAACAAGTTTTAGGATAAAATTATTAAATATTATTTGTAACATCAATTTATAATTTTTATTACAAACACACACACACACACACAAGCACACATTTGTAATAATTTATTATCATATTTAATTAAAACTATACATATATCGATAGAAATCTGTTACAAAATTTTTAATAACAAATATAAATATTATAACATTCTGTTGTTAATTTATAAAAGCAATGATTTCAATTGAGACCGTAAGAGAAGAAGGAGCTTTGCTTGATTCGTATTGAAATTAAATGAAATTGTTATGTCGTTCAATTAATAAAAGGATAACAACGAAAATAATAATAATGAATGTTGCTTAATATATGAATGTTTTTTTATTATACAGTAATGAGACTTGAAATTAATATAAAAAATCATGTCGTCACATGGAAACTAATTCATCCCTGTCACTCATTTGAGCTGATAAACTGAATGCTGTATCTGTACTAGCTTCGCTATTCAAACTTTCATTGAATGTTGGTTTTATATGACTAGTATCGTTCATTTCTCTCATTAATCCAGCCATATCATCGTCTGGATCTATCTCTTGAGTTTCCCCAACTACGTCAATTTCCATTGATTGATTATCGATCATTGATGATAATTCTTGTACAGTAGATTTTTCTTCTTCAATCTAATAACCACCAACAACAAATTATTCTTTGATATAAACTGTATATAAGAAATACATTGCTAGAGTGTAATTAATATTTAATTTATAATATATTAGCTTACTTTAATTGGTTCTAATTTACATGGGGGTGGTAAATTCATATGAAATATACAGTTAGAATCGTATATGACCGGTATAGGTTCGTGGCATTCAATGTCGGCATGCACTGCACCACAAGCTTTGAATAAAACTTGATGTTGATCCTAAAAAAAAAAAAAAAATGTAAATGATTCTTTTCATGATTATTTTATTAACTATGATTTGTTAAATAGAGTTAAGATTAAAATAATAATACTTTGAGAATGTGTTTACGACAATGTTTAGCGGAAGGGAGTGTTCTTTCGCCACATTTAACACCACCTTCTGTAAATATGCATTTAGATACATTCGGTTGTTTTTGCGTTGTTCCTTCTGATACCTAAAATATTATTATTAAACATTGATAATTAATTAATTAATTAATTAATTATTACGAAATATGTTAATTCTTTATTCGAAATATATTTTTACATTTACCTGTGCTCGACGTTCTACAGATTTTTTATACAGTATAGCTTCTACACCACTACGTCTATGATAACGATTCAATGCTTTCAACTTTTCGTAAATCTTTTTTTCCTTAGCCGTTTTTTTCGGTTGATCATGTATACTACCTGTATATATGTAATTAATATTTAATTTTGATATTTTATATTTTTGTATAATTTTGTTGTTTGTTGTATTAATATTATCGTTTACTTACAAACGGTTTCTTTTTCTTTTTTCAAAGCGTGTAGATATTTACGTCTCTTTTCTCTCAATACATATTGTAATCTTCTAAATTGATCAATGTAAAGTGACTGAAGACGTATTAATTTTTCTCTAGCAATGTAAATAACTTCCTCTGCCGTAAATATTCCTGCGTGTCTTAAAAAATAAATACTAATAATTTAACAAGTAGAAAGTATCTTATTCTTGTGCATAAAGCAACTACCAAGATGAATGATAGATAGATAGATAGAAATAAATAAAAAAATAATAATAATTAAAAACAAATTAAAAACAAATTAAAAATCAATTAACTACAGCTTAACAACAACAAAAAGAAAGAGTAAGAAAGAGTAAGAAGAAAATGTTGAAATTTTTATTTGGAGAAAAAAATCCAACACGGGAAAAACGTAGAAAATCAGGTATTTCGTAAGTACCCCCTGGGATTTATATCTTTTTCTCATTTAAGGGGAAAGCGTAGAAAATCAGGAATTTCGTAAATACCCTTTAGGGTTTATAATGGATATACGAAGACGATATAGAAGACGGCACAGGCTTAAGCATGCTAGCAGTTCATTCAAGGATAGATATATTTTTCTTGTTTTTTTTGGTAGAAAGTTTGATTCTCTTAAACATACCAACGTAAACTTACTTCAATGGATCTTCTTGAGGGCTATGCAAACTTTCGTTATCACTATCATCGAGACAAGCATTTTTTAAAGTATCACTTACTGTAGTAGGTTCAACATCACTATCGGATGAACTAGCATAATCTAAAATATCACACCCACTTGCGTTCACCCTATAAGCATCGATTTCATCTAAAAATTACAGATATTTATTTATATATTATATTAAATTTAATTTATGATATAAATATGATTGAGATTATTTCAATGTAATAATAATTTCATTTATTATTATAAAAAAAAAAAATATTGGAATGTAAAGAATTTAATCATCAAAATACTTACTAAATGGATCTAATGCTTTAACTTTATTTTCTTCATCTTCTGTATCTTCTGTACTTGAGTCAGTTGGTTTGACATAATGACTCAAATTTAATAACAATATTTCTGGTGTTTGAGGTAATGAATGACGTGATGTTGATTTAATACGAGCAATTTGTGCTTTTCTAGTATGTTCTATGCAATAACTAATAAACAAAATTATCTTTATTAATATTATAATGAATATAATCAAAGTTTTTATCAATAGAACTATAAACTTACGAAATATCTCTTTTATCAAGTTTCGGTGCTGGATTTTGACATTTTCTTCCATTAGAATTATAAATAAATGCGCATTGTTTAAAAGGAGCATTTGGATCTTCAAGTATATGTTTTAAACAATATGAATATCCTTCATGACAAGGTTGTAAACATTCATACGATCCGTAAGAACATTTACGTGTTTTTGTTGATGGTTTTATCGTTGAAGTAGACATTGTTGATTTTGGAATTCGAAACATTACTCGTTCTGAAAATATTTCAATGAACAATTGATTCTATTTGTAAAAAGGAACAAAATTGTAAATTAATCCTTAGATTTAATCTTTTGAATCATTATTTTTTTTTTTTTAGTTTCATTCATACTTTTTTATTTTAATATTTACAAAATTCAAATTTACCGCCATAACACGATAATAAAGATAACGTATAAAATGTTAGATAAGTTGAATATTAAATTAATCTTTACATTAATCTTTTAATAATTGTTTTAGTTTCATTCATACTTTTCTATTTTCAAACAGAATTCAAATTTGCCGCCATAACGTAATATATAGATATAGCCTATACAATACAAGTTAGGTAGAAAAAAATATAGAAAATGTTTATAAACGATACATTTTACGATAGAAAATATTACATTTCTAAATCTTTTAGCTATATGAGTATAATATAAAAGAAATACTATAGAAATAATGAATAATAAATGATGTTCGAAAAATACGTACGTTCGGTGTGAGAATTCATCGCCATGTTGTAGAAAACGTTTTCACTGAATTTCACTAATGCCACACATAAATATTGATAGAATTTATACACTAAATAAATATTTTTCACGATAATATTACTACAACACACGAAAAACGATATATCGAAATATTTCACACGAAAAATTCTATGTTCTCACAAGCTTATCGTATTTCGTCACTCTGAACTTTCACCATAGAGAAAATCAACGATAAGGGTTAACGATTTGATTGTTATTTTCCGGGTTCAAAAAAGAGTTTAGTTTCTAAAAATAACAATCGCATTAGTTATCAAGATGAGTCATTGTCCAAAAATTTTTATGGGTTTTTAATGACGGTCAATGTCCATCGGAATGCATTAGATTGAACATGCGATAAAATTATTTAGACTGTTGTGTTTACTTTGCTATCAGTATGACGTCATCTCCTGTATTCAAAATAACTAGAAACACATGGAAACTATGCAATGTTTATCATATTGTTACAATAGATTTTAACAATAAGTATGAATAAAACAAATTTGTTGACAAATTCAACAAGAAAATAATAGAAATAAATAAATGAAAAAAGAAATAGTAACAAAGTATAAAACTGAAGAGAAAGTAATATTAGGTAAAATTTTCGTAGCGTCAAGTTGGCTACTATTAAAATCGAATGGCTGGGTGTTGACACATCCAGGTGGTTAGATAATCCACGCGGTTGTAAGAGAATAAAATTGAGACAAATTTTTTTTTTAAGTCTATTGTTCTTTATACGGTAATTATTATTAATAATAATAATATTAAAACGTACCGTTAATATATTACAATATTACGGGATAGGTTGTCACGCTAATATTTTTCTCAACGTTGCAGCTAAAAGTATGTGTTTGGACAGCCATGCTACGAGGTTATTTCTATCATTTCTTACTCTGCATATTTCTTGAAAAAAATGCTATATTTCTTTCAAAAGGAAATAAACTTTTGAACAGACAAATGAATAAAGGACGCAGGTAACAGTTTTTTCTTCACCCCTTAAATTCCTGGAAATTAATAGAAGAAAATTGAGAAGAGAGAAAAAAATAACTCAAGTCCCTGAGGAAAATATATTTCTGAACAAAAGAAACAAAAAAAACGTACGACTGGCTTGAGAGATAGTCATCTGTGCAAGAGTGAAAGTTTCTTTTGAAAAAAATAAGAAGGAATTTCAGGAATGTCAGGAATGTCAGGAATGTGGAAAATACAATAGAGACGCAAGTAAGTTTTGTGTATGGAAGGGTCAGGATACAATTTTTCCGGATGGATTGGATTTTTTATTATTTTGGAACGTGACAAATACAATAGAGAGGCAGGTCAGTTTCTTTTTATGGAAGGGTCAGATTACAGTTATAGTTCGTATGAATGGATTTGGATTTCTATTTTTCAGGAATGATTTATAGATATTTAGTTAATCCCAGACACGCAGTCGTAAAAAAATGTGTTGCCTTGAAGATCAGCGGTGCTTCTTCTTCAATGGTATGGACAGCATTTTTTTCATACGAAGTTATACAGAACTACGTGTCGTTCAGGTTGAGATGCTCTTCTAGAAGAAAATAGATGGAATCCACAGGTCCAAGTAATAACAAGCGCAGGTATTCGTTGTAAGCTCCGCCCTGTTTCGTAAACGACGGACATAGCGGAGGAGAAGATCCACTGCTCTGTTGTAGTTGAGGAGTTGTCGAGTGAAGACGTGTAAACGTATTCATGTGCTATCTTAGTGTTCTTACTTGTACTTCAAGGAAGAATTCTACTTTATATTTCCAACAACATCGAGGAAATATATCTCTATCGATTATTAATTTATTAATAATTGATTGATTATTAAATTCCAATCAACATCTATAAGGAATTATAAGGAATATTATCGCGTATAAAGATCCAAGTGCGCTGTATATTCTAGAAGGAGCGTTCGTTCGAGTTGAAGATATTTCTCAGTGAAATAAAAGAAGAAAGAGATTTCTAACGACGAAGAGAATCTTACTTTTATTTCAAAGATCATCAGTTGAACAATATATTCATCAATTACATCGATCAAATAGTAAGTTTCATTCACCATCTTTAAGATAATAAGAGAATATCATCAACCACCACGCCTACGTGGTGTATTCTAGAAGGAGCGTTCGTTCGAGTTGAAAATATCTTCTCTGTGAAATAGAAGATGAAAGAGATTTCTAACTACGAATAAAATTTTACTATTATTTCAAAGATCATCAGTTGATTAATATATTGATTAATTGCATCGATCAAATATTAAATTGTCATTCAACATTTATAAGAAAATAAGAAGAGTGATTTCTAACGACGAATAAGAATCACGGACGATTATCTGATATATCATTAAAAATACATTAAATGTGTATTTGTTTATCGTAGTTAGATAAATCGAACTATTTTATCTACGTGTTTTCAAACGCATATAGTGAAAAAACGTGTTTAACACGATATTTGTATACGGGTGGACAATAAGGGGGGCGAAGAGGAAAGAGGGGGAGAAAAAACAATTAGTAAGAAGAGTATTGTGTTTTTTTTTTTAGTGCAAGTACACTAATAAGTGACAACGTGGAAATATTGTGAAAACAAATTCGAATTGTGTGTTTTGTTTCGAGCGCCTATTATTACATGCACGTGTGATTATCCTCTTGCGATTAATTTGAAGTAACGTGAAGTTGTATACGTATCACACAATTTGACATTTGATATATACAATCTTAAAATCGTAGAATTCGACGCCATTGGGTCGTCCACCACGCGCTACTAAACCAACGACGTGAAATAAGCTGCATTTGCTTTAGTGCCCGATTTGTGTGTACATATAAATGGCGGCTGACGAAAAATGGTATTTTACAAAAGAACAGCTAGCAAACACTCCGAGCAGGAGATGCGGCATCGATGCAGATAAAGAAMTAAGTTACAGGCAGCAGGCCGCTAATTTCATCCAGGACATGGGCCAGCGACTTGTGGTGTATCCTTTTTACAGAAAAATGATTGCGTGCTTTTTTCCTTTGCCCTCTCTCGACTCCTCCGCACCTCTCTCTCTCTCTCTCTCTCATGCGCGTAGTTTTGATTTGCATCTTTATAACCTTCTTTTTTCCTATATTATTTTCTATCCTACGAATTGTTTCTTTTATCGGTGCTCAAAAGTTCATATTTATTTCTCATAGCGATAAAGTTAACGATAACGGTCGATTCATTGAATATTTCGTTCGATGCTACGAGACTGTTCCTTCCCCCCCTCTCTCTCTCCACTCCCCTCCCCTTCCCTTCTACTTTCCCCTCTACCCTCCGCTCCCTCCCTCTTACGGAATTCCCTCGGACTCGTGAAATGCGACGTGATAAACATGTGTGTGACGTGCGAAAGTACGGAGGTCATGCATCTTAGTTTCTTTATTTTGCTTTCTTGTTATTTATTCACGTTGAAATTCTCTTCTCTTTACTCGCGAGATATTTATTTATTTATTTATATTTTTTTAATTTTATTTTTCTTGACATGTTCGCGAAATATCATCAGTCTCTTGTCGTTGTTAATAAGACACGTTGGTTATATCATCCTCATCCTCATCCCCAATCCTTTCAATAATCCATGCAAAATTATGAAAAAAAACCTTGTCGTGATTACATTGTTCATCCTGGATCAAGTTTATAACAATAGTACCAACCAATGATTATGTTACTGCTGTTTATCCTTACGCAAGTATCTTTTTATTAATTTTAATTTGWCTGCAGCTGCTGTTTTACACATGTCCTTTAAACGATTGAAGAAGAATTGCGAGCAAGATGATTTATTTTTTATATTATTAATTTTTTCTTTGGAATAAGCTTAAAATTGTATAATAGGAGAATTTATTCTAGTTTAGATCAAATAAATTAGAGAACAGTACTTTGAATTGATTTTTTTGATCATTATTAACATTTTCTTCATAGGTTTCATATTCTAAGTTTTGAAAATAGTTTTGCATTAAGTTTTGTTTTTCTTCTTCTTCTTCTTCTTCTTCTTCTTCTTCTTCTTCTTCTTCTTCTTCTTAAATTGTTAGAATGAATTAAAACAAGAGTGTCATATTTTATAACAATTCTCTTTTCTTTATAATATTGTTATTAAGTAGATGACAATTTTAGTTTTGTATCATATAACCTATTATATATTTATTATTTCWTTCTTAAGTAAATGTATTGTATTAATATTTTTTTCAATTTTATATATATAAATATATATATGTATATATATATATAACATTCTATATATATTTATATATAAATTAAATTAAATAAATTATTCTTAATATAAACAAAATATTGTATTTCTTAGCGTTATCATTTAATGTAATACAATAATCTATAAATAATAATATTAATTTCATAGTTTTTGGTTAAAAGTATTGTTTGAAATATTGTTAAAAGTCATTATTAATGAACACCATTTATATATATGTAAATATATATATATATATATATATTTTTTTTTTCAAGATGTGTTATCTTATCAAATTTGTTAAAATGTTATTAACATGTATTACAAATTGCATGGCAATTGGCCATTATTATTGTCATACAAATATCATATTAGTATTTTGATTGTTTCCAATGTTTTAACAAAATTTAACAACTTTGTTATTTAAATGAATCAAATTAACAATGTATACAGTTAAATATAAATTGGATAAAATTATTTATAGATTATTTGTTAATGTTAATAACAATTTATAGTAATTAGAGATATTTTTTTTTGTTAACTTTCATTGATTATATTAAAAGCTTAGTTATTTGATACAATCTTTCTCGCAAACTTTTTTTCTCTATTATTATAAATTACATTTAGATATTTTTGGTTGGTACTACATGTTGTTAGGTTTCTAATAATTATCAGTAAATGAATGAGTGGGCATTATTTAATTTAATAATTTACATTTTCAGCAAAAAAAAAAAAAACAAACTATGATTTTCCTTAACTAAAGATTTATATAGTACTCAATTATGCATCAATACTGCAATAGTTTACATGCACAGATTTTATGTGTTCCATTCGCTATCACAATTTCATCGAAATTCCATTGCTGCAGCAGCCCTGTTTTTAGCAGCAAAAGTAGAAGAGCAACCACGTAAACTGGAACATGTCATTAAAATGGCATACATGTGCTTGCACCGTGAACAGCCGCCTGATAGATCTGAGGTTAGTATTGTAAATTTATTTAATATCAAATCTTAAGTAGAGTATAAAGTGTTCGTTAAATTGTTACATTCTCTTTGTAAATGAATTAGCCACCCGATAGATCTGAGGTTGGTATTATCTCGTTAAATCGTCATCATTCTCTTTGTAACAATTTATATTTAACAGTACATTCATTTTTTTTTTTTTTCATTATTTACATTCAATTCGTTAATTAGTTTTATCTTTATTTACAGCAGTATCTTGAACAAGCTCAAGATTTGGTTTTCAATGAAAATGTCCTATTGCAAACATTGGGGTTTGATGTTGCTATTGATCATCCTCATACACACGTTGTTAGATGTTGCCAACTAGTTAAAGGTAAATTTTCTGTTTAGATTATTTATTTGTTGAATTATATTTGTGGTATTATATATATATTGATTAGTACTTTATTTTAATAAATGTTCATTCATTTTGTTTCAGCAAGTAAAGACCTGGCACAGACGTCTTATTTTATGGCATCTAACAGGTTTTTAATTTTCTTTTATATCTTTTTATCAATAATTTGAAACAAAATTGATAGAAAGTGTAATTGTGTACCAAATTGGGATAACATATGAGATCACATTTGTGTGATCTCATATGTGTATTACCTTTTCGTTCGGGAGGACCTACATTGCAGAGTGATAACGATCATCATTCAAATAGGAAAAGCGTATATTTAAATATATTTTTTATTTTCATATACGTGTCGAAGAATAAGGGTAAAAAGTGAAATGAACATATTTAAAAATTGCTAATTGATATTTGATATTTGATAATAATGATTGATAATGTTATTAAAAATATATTTATATAGTTTCTTTTTTTTAAATTCAATTTAAATTCTATACAAATATGTTCATTTACTTTCACATAAACATTGTTGTATTTTAATTTGACGGAAGCGTATGATTTTGAAAAGTAATTAACTATTCTATATGCGCTGTTTTCTTTCTTTTTGACCTAAACAAACGGATTTTTTTGGTAAAAAAACAGGTAAATTAATATTTTTTTAAATTAATTAATCATTTTATAATATATTTATTATACAAAAATTTGCATAATTACAATTGCATAATACAAAACGTTTGCATGCATTTGAAATATAATTACATATAAATACATGGTCGATAAATTATTATATAAATAAATGTTAAGGTTATAGAAATAGCTTGGAATTTGAGATTAACAATACAATACATTTTATTTTTTCAATAATTGTATTGAGTTAAGGTTAGTTCTTTATTAAGAATCATTTTTCAAATGAGATATATAATTTTTAAGTAAATAAATTATGTTTTAATATGAGTATAAGTTATTTATACTTGTTGACATAATTATTTGGTACATAATATTACATTTCATTGATAAATTAATATAATAATTAGAAAATGACTAATAAATTAATTTAAAAAATATTTTTTATTTTAGCTTGCATTTAACAACTATGTGTCTGCAATACAAGCCTACAGTAGTTGCCTGTTTCTGCATTCATTTAGCATGCAAATGGTCCAATTGGGAGGTAATAATATATACATTTTTATATTGTTTTACTTTTATGATTATTTGTAAATAATTAAAATATATGACTATATTGTATTTCTTTTAATTACAGATACCTCAAAGTAATGAAGGTAGACAATGGTTTTGGTACGTTGATAAAAGTGTTACTAAAGAGTTGTTGGCACAACTTACTGCAGAATTTCTACATATATTTGATAAATGCCCATCACGATTGAAAAAGAAGATTATGAGCATTTCCGCCAATCAAAGCCCGAATTTAAATCATCAAAATGTACCTAACAACAATTCACTATTTGTAAGTATTTCTATATTTTTATATATTCTATTGTTTTTTTTTTTTTTTTTTTTAAATCAAAGAAAGATATATTATTTTTGTTTCAATTGTAGCATGCTATTATACAAATTTGTTTCATTCAATGGAATATATTGGAATTAAACAAATATTTGACCTTTTTTATAGGATGCTGAGCCACGAAAAGTTCAATCTCCTGCAAATGCAGCAGAAGGGGGACCAACATTTCATTTCAATCGGCCCCATCATTCCGAAAAACAAGAAGATAGAAGACAACAACAAGGTCCTTCAACTAACCCAACAAGACCACCTGTTGATTATCGTGAATATAAGGAGAAAAAGGAACGTGAACGTTTAGAGAGAGAAAAGGCTGCTCCAACTCCATCAACGAGTGGTCATCAAAGTCATGCAGTTGATATCAATAAGCATCATTCTTCGCACCATCATAAACAACCTGTGCCTGGAACCAGCAGCATGCCTAATAAGCATTCCGTGCCACCAGGGCAAAAATCTACAATGCATCATAATCATCATCATAGACAAGAGATTAAAGTTAATCAACCAGTACAGCAAAGACATTCTACTGGCAATCAACCGCGAGAATCCAATCGTGATCCTAACAGACAGAGGATAGCAAGGGAATACAATTCTAGCAGTAGTTCAAATACCAATAGTGCAGTGCATTCTCATGGTCATATTCTACATCAAGGAAAAGATGTAAATGCAGACAATGCTTTACCAGATAATACATCACACAGATCTGACATTGTTACATTACAAGACAATCTCAGTAATAATAATCATAATTTACAGAGATTAAATATAATGGATGGAAAACATCAACCACACGACAAAAGGGTCTATGATCCTAGGCATAAACCTGTAGACCATAAAAAAGACGCAGAACAGAAAGTTTACAATAAATATCCTGACTCATCAAGAGATAGACAACGGAAATCTGATTCTTTGGAACAGAGATCCGAAGAAGTAAGGAAGCTTATAGAAAAACCTTTGCCATATCCAAAACCAGCATTGGATGTGCAACATGCTGCCAATTTACAAAAACCTTCTTATCATGGTAAATATAGTCAAGCGGATAAACCACAGGGAAGCACCAGTGCGTTCATAAGTGATATCAAATCAACCAGTATGCCTCAAAATACGTTCACTCAAGAAAAATCTCCAACAACCCCTGCATCATCTTTATCACAAATTTCTCAGAAAAGCATATCTTCTAAATCTATGATAAGTCAACATTCTGCTTATAGTGTTTCGCAAACATTAAAAGATTCCATCAAGAATGGAAACTCTCAATCCTCGTGTCTAACGCCTTTGAATAACATTGATGATTCGAAAGCTGAAAAACGACTACGACATGACGAATTGGTCGATCAACAATCAAATTTATTGCCAACAGCACCACCAGTGACCAAGCACAAATCGTTGTTTAGCCCAGAAAAAGTGCAAACCAGTCGAGAATCGTCGTCACACTCTCAGAGGCCTAAATCGAAACAAAAAACGCCACCGGCTGTTAAAGTTCCTAAACAAGACCGTGCACCAGAGGCGGCTCTAACCGGTCTTAATTTGGCGACATCATTCACGAGTCCACCAAATTTACATCAAGCTGAATCGATGGCGATTAAGCGTTCCGGTAGCGATTTGTCAGGGATTGCTCATAAAAGACATCGTACCATAAGTTCTAGTGAAAATGAACCTCATGCAAAAGTGAAAATAGAAGATGCATCAAGTTTAGAGGCCATGAAGATGCATAGTAGAGTACCAGAGATTATCCAGCCAATTAGAGATAATCCTTCATCGAATGGTAGAAGTACTTCGGTATCTAGTGAATTACAACCACCGGAATTAATTAAACCATTCGAACCAGAGACTGTGATTTCTCGTTTTGGTACTATGGCTACTAATGGGTTGGATGCAAACATTGAGACTCAACAAGTGCAAATGGAATATTTGTCACCAATGAAATCAGCTCAAAGTATAAGTGCTCTATTGCAAGAACCTTTAGCTCCGTTGCCATCTTTACTGCARGGTATGCAGCAATTTAGTCAAATAACATCGCAACAGGCACATCAGGAGCAAGTTGTTCAGCAAGAGCAACAACAGCAGTCTCAACAACAACAGTCATCACAACAATCACAAATGCAATTGCAAATGCAACAACAACAATCAGTTCAGCATCAACATTTACATTCGCATCAACAACAACAACAACAACAACAACCCATAACATCTCATTCATTGTTACTTCCTAATAGTCAATTAGCAGTACAAACACAGTGTATGACACTGCCTTCAACAATGACTGAAACATCAGTAGTTTCAACGGTTGACATCAGTGTTTTATCTGCTCCAGTGCAAAGTAATACTGATGGAATAGTTCAAACTGTACCAACAACTACTACGGTACAAAAAGCAGTAGTGCCGACAGTGACTGAAGAGAAGAAAAACGATCATCATAAGAGCGAAAAGAAAAAGAAGAAGGAAAAGCATAAGCATAAGGAGCACAAAGAAAAGAGCAAGGATAAACATAAGCATAAACATAAGGAAAAGGACAAGGAGAAGCATCGTGAAAAAGACAAGGATAAAACTGAGGAGACATTGCCTGCCGCACCTATCAAGATTACAATACCAAAAGAAAAGTTAAATCTTAGTGGTGAAACTGCTGTCACAAGTGGTGGTAATGTTGTTGTACCAGAGAAAAACAAATCACCTCAAGGTACRGGCTTGAAATTAAAAATTGTAAAAGATCGATTGAAGAGTACTGAAAGTATACCAGGTACGCAAGCTCAGCCAGTGCCACAAGCACCGTTAAAAATGAAAATACGAACGGACGCAATTTGGAGAAGTTCGACGGGTAGTGCACCAGTAACGACGACAAGCGCTTCGACAATTAGTAGTGCTTCGGACTATTCTGGTGAAAGTCGAAAAAGAGAAAGATCCGATGCCAATGACAGCGCATCAAACGCGCTTCATGCAGCAAAAAGACCACACTATCATCACTATCATCACCAGCAATCATCACAACAACAACAACAACAACAACAACAACAACATCAACAACAACAACAACAGCAAGCACAACAGCAAGCACAACAGCAACAACAACAACAACAAACACAGCAGGTTTCATCAATGGTTGCCGGTGGTCACGGTCAATACCGTTCCGGAGAAAGGCAGAACGGCAGGCACTATAGTTCAAGCAGCAATAACAAGGTACGTGGAGGTGGTAGGGGCGGCCGCCAGTATGTCAAGGGTGGGCCACCACCAAGATCGACTGGCAATTTTGGTGTAGCTGGTAAACGAGACGGCTACTATCAGCAAGATACTCCTTATAATCAAACCAGTGTCCATCATCCTTCGAAACATACTTCTTCATCAAATCATGCTAATACCTACAACAGGCAGGCTGCTCATGTTGTTAACTCATGTTTTGCTAACTTTGCAAATTATCCAACGCCCTCGATATACACTCCTGCCGCCGCCGCCGCCGCCACCGCTGTTACTGCTAATACCGGATACATGTATAAACATGCTTTAAGTTATTATCCTCCATATCAACAGCAGTATTCCATGTATCCGGTAGGTAATGTTATAATGACATCGGACGGTGTCATCGATACGACTGTTCCACCACCACCCTTTCTACCTCCAAATGTTCGTCAGAATTCCATGATGGTCGTACCATCGACTTATCAATCGAATGTGGCTGTTCAACAAGTTCAATCCAATGATCCACCTCCGTTACCAGCCGGACCACCCCCGTGCTCTCCCCCACCACCACCACCACCACCCCCAGAGTAGTTATGATTGCACTCAATTTTGTCTCTCATCCTGTAGTGGATTTGATATCTTTATGAGTTAGTGATTTATTCAAAAAACAAAAACAAAAAAAACAACAAAAAAAAATACTTCTTTTTTTTTTCTCAATGCGTTATCCGTGCTTGTCAGTAAAAAAAGCTTTTTACTTGAGAAAGCTCGAATATTTCTTTTTATATATATATATATATATCTTTGATATATTTCATATATTACTTATTAGATATTAATTATGTTCATGATATGATTGAAAAGATATTATATCTTTTAGCTAATTTTACTTTGGATTTAGTTTTTATTTATGATATATTTGTGTATATCTATATTTTAGGATCACACGACATAGCACGGATAATAATAATTATTTTGTAGAGACAATTATTTTTCTGTCATTTTTTTTTCTTTTTTTTT